CGAAATATTAATGAAACGTTTGGTGAAGATGTGGCTAATGAACGGCTACAATACACGTCGATGGTTCGAGAAGTTTCGTTCTGGCGATTTTAATCTTGAAAATGAGCCACGTTGGTGACCCGAGACCAAGGTCCGGATAATGATGAGCTGAAAGCTGTAGTGAAAGCGGATACATTTCAAACTACGCGTGAATTAGCATCGAGGTTTAACGTTACTATTCCAACAATATCGGACCACCTGAAACAAATCGGCAAGATAAAGAAGCCGAACAAATGGATTCCGCATGAATTAAACGAGCGTCAGAAGAGAAGTCGTCTCGGAGCAGCTTGCCTTTCTTCACTGTCACGACGTAAGAGCGAACCATTTTTACATCGTGTATCGATTGAATATGGATCAAGCGCCGAAACACAGTCCGAAACCGAATATTCACAGAAGCTAATAGTGTCTCTGTTTGGTGGCCCAGCGCTGATATTATCCACTACAGCTTTTCATGAAGCACAGCGGATGTCCACTATAACCAACTAGGCGAAATGATGAAAATGCTTGCGACGAAGCAGCCGAGATTGATCAGTAGACACAGGTAATCCTCTTGCAAGACAACGTTGCTCAAACTACAGGAGCTGGACCTGGGAACCACTCTCTGTCACCCACCGTATTCACCAGACTTTGTACCAACTGACTATCGCTTCTTCCAGGCGTTGGACTTCCTCGCATTTCTTGCGAGGAAAAATATTCAATTATCAACAAGCTGTGGACAAATCTTGCGCGATTTCATCGTCGCCTGTTCTTCAGGCTTCTTCGCTGCTGGCGTAAATAAGCTACCGTTTAGATGCCGTTTAGGTGGCAGAACCGTTAAGATGCCGACCGTTTAGGCGCATACTTGGATTAATTGTACTATTTCTAGTTTGAGATACAATAAACCAAACGTTTGATTCGAAATCGGACATTTCGTGCTGAACTACCCAATACAAAGCGCGACGTTTCACCGTGTTTCTCGTCTTCTCGTCCTCTTTTCGCGGTCGCTCTATCGCATCGCTTTTTTTCAAAAGTATTTCAAGAGACGGGGGAACTTTGCCGTCTGCCGGAGATTTATTTTCGGGACGCAACGCTGCTGCAAAGCTTGTGTGCACTTTAAGCTAGTACACGCTACACTACTCCGCTCCGCAGTGGCCGTCGTTTATCCCCGCGTTGCGCGCGTGAAATGCTTTTAAAGCGCAATCGTTCGTTCGTTGACTCGCGGCGGAACGACTTGGCGAAACGAAGCGCTCGATAAGCAAAGAATTTTCGCGCGTCTCGCGAGAAGGCAAAAATCTCTCTCTTCCTCGTCTCTCTCTCTCTCTCCCCCCCTCCCCCCTCCTCTCTCCTTCCCTTTTCAAGAGATTTTCAAATTTATCGAACAATTATGATTCTGTAATCTTCCGAGAGCGCCTTCGGAATTCGTTCGGCACGATTCACCTCTCCGTCGCGAAATCAATCCCAGAATGAATTCCGGGAAAGGTGAAAGATCAATCGACGGGCGACATGTGCTAGAAATTGCGCACGTCAGTGGCTGAGACGACACCAGTCTTTTCGTGTACAAAGACGTGAAATTATGCCGACCTCGTCCGTGCATCCTGAACGAGAACTTTCTCAGCGTAGTCGCGCATTTCCCGATAAAATGTAATCTTATCTGCGCCCGATAACGGCCCGATAACAAGCAAACAGTCATCGGAAAGCGACAAAGCTGGACCGCGCTTCATTGGTGGCGGCGCGGCGGGGGAGGGGGAGGGCGGGGCGAAGAATGACGTTCCACGCGCGCGGGACCACCGTCTTTGTTCCGCCTTGACCTTACGCACGAGTTTACGCGTCGCCGCGTGTGCATTCGGATTTATCCGATTCATTCGTATTCCACGTCCAGCGTCCGAGTGTAACGGGACGCGTGGTGTAGCACGGTGTCCTCCGGCGCGCCTTTTACGTCCCGACGTTAAACTATCGCGCCATTTAGCCGGGCGATCGCCTTTGCCGATCGCTAACGCGAAACAGCTGCAACTCTGCCGACGCTGAAACGGCAACTGCACCGACGGTGCTCTGGGCGACAGTGTCGTCAATACTTTAACCGGCTATCCTCTTTTTCGTTAACGTTTAGTCGAGTCGACCAAACGTTAACGAATCAAGCTCGTTTTCAAGCCAGAAAGCCGCCCGAACGCTTTCCTTCAACGCCAGAGAACAGTCCTTGGTCCGCTCATCGTCTTGGCTCAACCAGTCTCTCTTTCCTCCGTTCACAACTACTGGCGGGAATTTTACTCGAGTACCCGCGTACCCGGGTATTCGGCTACTTTGAGGAATACCAGCTTCGAGTGCTGCTCGGAGAGCCATTCAGGTTGACCCGGACTACCCGGAATGGACGACACATTCTGGGAACACACTCGCCGCTTGAAGAGCGCCTAGTATCGTCCATGCGAGGGCAAAGAAATGTTTTAATGACTTTCCGCAGTAAACATCGAGTGGCTCACACCTCCCCCCGCCCCTCCCCAAATAACGGTCGATGTTTTGCACGTTGACCACTTCCGGCCGGAAGCGCATAAGAAGACACTAGCAGAAGCCGCGCGCGACCGCTGGCCGGCATGCAATATCGACCGCTCTCTCGACGACGCTCGGCGATTTTATCACCGAGAGAGGGTGCTCTCTCTCTCTCTCTCTCTCTCTGTGTGTGTTTTTCTCTCCCCCTCTCTCTCTAGCGCCGAGTTTACGCGTCTCCCGGGTGTTGCGGTCGAGGTAACGCATGGGGGAACCGCGCGTACGCGCGCGTACCATAATTACGCACGCACTACGCGGAGCAATTGAGCCGCGCTCTCCGGGCGCGGGAACCTTGAAATCGCGGAATGCAGTCGCGATGCGATTACTCCGCACGGCCGCCGCGCCCGGTACTTTCTCGCGTGAGAAGGAGACCTCGGAGCTTCCGCTATCGCGCGACGTGGACGCGACAGTTTCCGTTTCCCTCGCGTGCTGTTTTATCCGTACTGCCGGCTGTACGAATGGTCATCCGAGCGCGCGAAACTGCAGAGTTGTGTGGTTCGCTTATTAGTTCACACAGCTCACTCGTTGTACACGGGGAAAAAGATGGTCCGAATTGACGCGACGGCGAGAGCGAGTCGAGCGCGTTTTGCCCGAAGGAGGCAGAATTTTCGGTTCTCTCGGAGCCGAGTTTGGCTTGCAATACGAAGGAAAAGTCCCGTTTCCTTGGTGTCCTCGCGAGATTTAGGGATGCCGGTTTTTTTTTTTCCCCCCCCCCCAAACAGATCGATTCGCGAATCACGAAGGAAAGAATCGGTTTGTAAAGAATCGATTTCAGGAAAATCGATTGGAATCGGTATGCATGTAACGTGAACCCCATTCATTAAAGTATACTATCTGTCAAATTTCTGCACTCTAAAGTAGACCTCGTGTATAATTTATATAAAGTTTAATATGAATTAAAGAAATTAAATAGTAATGGTAAACACGACTTTTGGTCATGTTGTGTGTGATGGCCACAACAAGATAGAAAAAGATCTTCAAATCTTTATACTAAGGATTTAATTAGTTTGATTAAACATCAATCAAGGGTTTTTAAACGTTATTAAATAAGAAATCACGTTTACTATATGCATATATATATATATATATATATATATATATAATATGTACTATTATATGGAGTGGCTATGATTGGTTCGCGCGTTCCGTTCCGCTGAAAATTTTCGCCCATGGGTCACATCGGCCTAAAGGCCAACGTAAAGTTGTGCATCGTGCAGCCATTAAGTGAGTTCAAATATTACAATTAAAGAGAATTTAAAAAAAAACTATGTTACTAGTAGAAACTGAAAAAATCATGTTGGCGATTTTCAGAATTTACCGATCGATCCTTGAGTCGATTCAGTTCCAGAAAATCGACTTGAAATCGGTTTAAAATTGGCATCCCTAGCGAGATTCCACAAGCATAAACGTTCTCACACACATCTCTGCCCGTTTCTTCCACAGATCCAGGCGAAGCGTGAGCTGTTCTTCAAGGGCGACGGCGCGTCGATAATCTCGTCGCCGTCGGTGCCGTCGGTGCCACCGCCGCAGCCCCCATCGCAGGCTTCCAATCCGCAGGCCACCAACTCGTCGTCGTCGGCGGCGAGCTTCACCACGACTGGCATCATCACGTCGCCAAACACAGCGCCAACGCCAACCTCGTCAGTCTCGTCCAGCTACTCCAGCAGCGCCGTCACGGCTTCGGTCGGCTTGGGGTCGAACGCGAAGCCGCGACTGCCGTCCGCGGCGACAATCCCGAATGATGCTTCCGAGGACAGCAACAGACGCGAGTCCGCCAGAACCGCTTCCAAGGAAGACAGCAATAAGGAGACTAGTCTGCTGCACCATTCGCGGCCCACACCGCCCACCAAACCCAAGGAGCTCGACGGCTACGTTGGCTTCGCCAATCTACCCAACCAGGTCTACAGGAAGGCCGTGAAGAAGGGCTTCGAGTTCACTCTCATGGTCGTAGGTTGGTGTTCGCCGTCACGGCTCGTCTTGGAGAATAGATACACAAGACACGGGACCGAGACTCGTGTGTTTATGATCGATGATCCGATGTAAATGTAGCGGGTAAAATTTATCACGGGGCAGGTTGTTCGAATTCCTTTGGTAAGTCAACTGATAGTCAAGTGACATGTCTGTCTTTGTCCAAGTTGAAGGAAAAACAAAGACAAACATATGATTCAACCGTCGGTTGACTCAGCAAGAAGTTGGAACAACCGGCTCTAAGAGTATCAAACGTCTCGGCGGCGGGAAGTAGACTCCGAAGGCCGTGCCTCTGCTTTTGCGCAAAAAGAAAAACCTAACCGGGGAAAAACACGTGATGGGCGGGGATGAAAACGTGACGATGAGTCAACGCCGGGTTTAAAGCGCCGAGCCGAAGCGTCGGGATCGATGGGGGAGGAGAAGCGCGCCGTCGTGACGTTCCGGCGAGGTGCATCATCGACGTCGAGTCCTCGGCCGGCGAGAAACGCGATCCGTTCACGGGGTCTGGACAGTCAGTGGCCATTATACCGCCGGAAGAACAACGGCCGTCTTTCTCGCGACGCGCGCGGCCTAAAAGCGAGTAGCCCGAGGACAAAGAGATCCGTTTCTCCTCCGCTCGCGGCCGGTATTCCCATTGCGTCGGGAATATCATCTCGCGAACCTTCTTTCCATCTGCCGAGCACGTGCCGCGCTGCCCCGAGTGCTGCCCCTCCCGCAGCTGGATCAAGGCTGTCGCCGAGGTTCAGCGGTTCTCACGCGGGCCCGATTTACGGCCGATCAGCGACTCCCTCCCTACGGACTCGTCCGTCGCAGCATCCGTCCGCCCCCCTCCCCCCTCTCTCTCTCTCTTTCTCTCTGTGTGTGTGTGTGTGTGTGTCGACCTTCGCGGAATCTCCGAGCGTTTACTCACTCTACGTCGACCTTGCGTTATTTATGCAAATGAACGGTGTCACTCTGAACAAGCGAGCCAATTTGCACGCGGCAATAACGCGTCGCGCCACTCGCGCGTAGACCACAACTTTGTGCGCGACTCGGCCGATTGAAAAAAACTCATGAATCGTTAATTGAACGCTCCAGTTGCCCTCGAATTTATCGCCGCTGGCCGGTTTCCTCGGTGGGACGCGAGCGGCCGCGATTGAGACCGATTCGAGCGTGAGGAGATGTGTGAAATATTGAATGTAAATTTCTGTCAGAATATAAAGCGGGAACGAGTGCAGCGTAATAATTCGAAGCATAATCGTAGTTTGAAGCGCGCGACATTGAGCGAGCGAGAGAGGTATCTGAGGAATTCGACCGGCGCGGCCGGCGGCTGTTCGTCCGAGGGAAGCTTGTTGATAAAAGTACCGGCTAAAGCGTCGACAGCGCGCGACTGCCAGTCGAATGATTTGAAACGCGCGGCTCCCACCCGGCCCCTATGGGTGCGCTATGCACACGCGGAGGAAAAGAGTGTCATTGGGTCCGGGGCGGAGGGGGGAATTTGAGAGCACGGTCTGCGCGCGGCTGGCTATTATTAGCCCCGCGTATAAACGGAGCCGTTCCTCCGTAAATAGAGCAATCCAAGTGCGCCGCTACTGCTTACCCTTGGTGGCGTAGGCGCGGCACTTCGCCTGGTTCAAGGTTCGCGCATTAAGAGGTCATGGTACTCCCGCGTCACCGCGCTCTTCGTCTCGTTTCATTTCATTTCGCACGGTTTCGGCCAGCGGACGACGCGCCGCGGCGGCCGGCCGACGTCTTCGATTTGTCTCACCCCGAATCCTGGACTCTCGGTGTCTGCTGCGTGTATATGTATGTGTGTGTGTGTGTGTGTGTGTGTATACATTCTTCTCACCGAGATATCCCAGAAATGTCTCGGCCGTAAATACTCCGACTGAGATTAATGATCGTTGCCGTTGGGAGAGGCGGACGCGTCTATAGCTACTTTGCTTTGAAAGGATTGTGATGCTCGGTGAATCAAATCTCTCCCGTTCCTTCTCACCTCCCTCCCTCTCTCTTTCTCTCTCTCTCTCTCTCTCTCGTTCGAGAGGAAGGAAGGATATTTTGTATGCGAAAAATTGTTTCGGTGTATCTCCGAGAAAGATGACGGACGAAATATTTTTCGTGTATCGTCTGCATTTTTCTTGGGGCGGAGTTTCTCACTCGAAACAAGTGGAAGTACGCTCGCTGCCGTTTCCAACTTTTCTGGAAATGGAATTTCAATGGAGGAAAGTTGGATCAAGGAAAAATCTGAAAGTTGTGTTCATCCATAGGGGAGTCGGGACTCGGCAAGTCCACCTTGATCAATTCCATGTTCCTGGCGGAAATATACAGCGCCGAGTATCTTGGACCCAGTCTCAGGGTGAAGAAGACGGTCGCCGTGGAAACTAGCAAAGTGCTACTGAAGGAGAACGGCGTGAACCTCACCCTCACAGTGGTCGACACTCCCGGATTCGGCGATGCCGTCGACAACAGTAACTGGTGAGATATTATACAGAGGCAGGCAAATTCTTTCAAGCCCGCTCGACTCTCGCATCCCCGACTGTACGATATCTCTGTGTTTTTCTTTTCTCTCCCTCTCTCTTGCAGTTGGGTGCCCGTCATCGACTACATCGAGTCGAAGTACGAGGAGTTCCTCAACGCGGAGTCGCGCGTAACGAGACGGCAGATCCCGGACAGTCGAGTGCACTGCTGCCTCTATTTCGTCGCGCCCTCGGGCCACGGACTGAAGCCACTCGACGTGGAGTTTATGCAGCGTCTCCACGACAAAGTCAACATCATACCCGTTATCGCGAAGGCGGACACCATGACGCCGGACGAATGCGCGCACTTTAAGAAACAGGCACGACTCGTTGAACTCGTTGTTATAAATAAGAGAAGAATAAAATCAGAGAGAGAGAGAGAGAGAGGGAGAGAGGAGAGGAGAGGAGAGGAGATAAATCGCGCGACACTCTGCGTCTAATGATATTTCGACATGCGTTTTCAGATCTTGAACGAGATCGCGCAACACAAGATCAAAATCTACGAGTTCCCGGAAGTCGAAGAAGAAGAAGAGAACAAGCTTCACAAGCTGTTGAGGGATCGAGTGCCGTTCGCGGTTGTTGGGGCAAACACTGTCGTCGATCACGACGGCAAGAAAGTGCGCGGCAGAAAGTACCCCTGGGGAGTCGCGGAAGGTTCGTACGAATTCGATGTAAATTATTGCCAGTCGATTGGTCGTTGAGTCTGGAACGCGATAGAAATTGCCGAAACCACGTGCTCGGCACACATTTTGACGCGCCATTGCGTTGATTCACATTGATCGTGGCGAACGCTCGGCCGAGCGGCTCGACATTGTTAAAGATAACTGAAGAAATGTAACTCGAGATTTGCATTGGTCGTTTATTCAAGCGTCAAGGTAGACTGTGTGTGTGTGTGACTGTGTTCCTTCATGGTGCTCTTCTTCTTTTGCCGCATACAGTCGAGAATCTGGATCACTGTGACTTCATAGCGCTTCGAAATATGGTGGTGAGGACACACGTGCAGGATCTAAAGGACGTGACGAACAACGTGCACTATGAAAACTTCCGGTGTCGCACGTTAGCCGGCCTGGGTGTCGACGGCAAGCCGACGAAGGCTTCGAATAAGTAAGTGCCACTCGTGCCGCTTGATGACGATTTAGTTTGATGGCGATTTCTCGTAAATGTTCCGTCTGATTATGTGGAAAAGAGAACCAGAGAAAGATATATATATATATATATATATATAATCGTGCTAGAAAACATTTTGTCGAGGAATAGATGTACCTCCTAGTTTCGTCGAAATAGACGAATCGATCGTGTGACGTGATCTCGAAGGAGCCAAGATTCCTCGGAATCGTTTGCTCGGTCGCTGGAGTCAAGTTCCCCCAAAGTTACACGCGCCCCTCGCCCTGGGCGACGGCCACTTAGTCTCATATCGCGCGCGACGCGTCTTCCACGAATTGATTAATTCACCTGTTCCAACCAAAGTGACGCGATATCAGCATTATTGTCGGACGTGATAAAAAGCAAAAATTAAATGATGGGACGATTCATCTTCCTTAGCCGAGCCCGTCCGTCCGATGTGAAGATCACGACACGTCTCGTTTTGTCTATTCTCGATGCACTCGCCGCAAGCCCCAGATTGTTTGTTTCATTGAGTTTGATTTGAGCACGCAGCGTGTCTCGAGCGAGCACTCGTCTGTGTATATGCGTTGAGATCGTTTTATTTCGAGCTTCCGTATATATACATATATACATATACATATACACATATATATATATATATACATACATACATACATACATACATATATATATCACCACAGTATATATTTACCGATCTACGTCGGAAATATGATCGCCGCCGGTTCTTGAGTCGATTGTGTGTACTTGTGCAAAATGAGAAACGCAGCTTGTAACCACTCACCATCACCACACCAGTGTGTCGTTTGCGTTTTCTGATTGTTTCGTTTTTCCGAGGCATTTGTCACGGAAAGGGGAAGAAAGGTTGTGCATGCAAACGTTATCCAAGGTCCACAGACTCGCGTTCGAATTGTCGTTGGTAGCGTTGGTATGATCTCTCGACTCGCGAGCGATAATCTGTATCCTTAGATTAGACACGAGAACGCTGTCGGGTGGCTGCTTCTTTCTTCTTGCTCCTTGCGCCACCTCGACAGCGCGTCGTCGCTCCGTGCGAATTTTAATACTGAATTTCTTATTGGTCAGTTTGTGCCCTCCAGGAGTGATGAACAGTTTCATGACGGTGTGGTAAGTCCTTTAGTAAGGCTGGAAAGGATGTACCTATGGTTTTGTGTGCACAAACCTTGTTGGGTCTCGAAGACCTTTGTCTCGGGATCTTCCAAATCTTCGGGAGGGCTCACTGGGCGCGCGCGCGCGAGGTGTTGCATATCACACATCGATGCTGCGTCGGATAGTAGTGAGGGGGGAGGGCTTCTTTCCTCTCGTGGAAAAAATCTCTCGAGACGAGCGAAGCGAGAGCGAGGTGTTTTTTTTTTTCCTTCCTTTTCTTCGTTTTATCCGGCGATTCGTTATGTTTTCAAGCGGCGATTTAGCGCTCGCGTCCGATGCATGTACAGTGAGGCCTCCGAGTGCGATTTTCGACGCGGATTATTGTTCCGTTCCTTAGGAACAGAACGAGTGATAAGAGATAGATCTCACACATTAGATGCAACACTCTTTACGTTTTGCCTGCCGCCTTTATTATATTTACGTTTGTCCCTTGGCGTACTTTAGTATCTTGCATATAACATATTATAGTATATACGGTAGTTTCCCCTAGTCGAAGGAAAGTGTAGTTAGCTAACGTTATTTTCTACAATGCCTGTATGTATACCGTTGTAGCTCCTCTATAGATTTTATGCCTACCATGCCTACCTGTGACACAAGAGCCTCGGATTTGCGTCGAATAAAAGTGACGAAAGAATGACACGACAGTTGTCAAGAGCTGTCAACGAACGCTCTCGCGTGTACACTGAGAGAAAAGTTTATCTGAGACTGCAGCACGGTGCTGCACACGCTTTTTCATCGAGAATAACGGTAATATTAACGAGAGAGAGAGAGAGAGAGATTAGCCATTTTTTTTCTGTCAGTGTAGACGCTTCGTGACGTGAATCTCGTGATGGTTTCCCGCGAGAACCAATCAAGAGCGCGATATTCTAATCGCCGCGATAACGGCTCGGAATAGGAATAACGAAATAGGAAACCAATTATCGGATGCAATTTGCATGGCATCGATTCAATACAAATCCGGGCTCAGGCATTTAACCCTTAACTGATCGCGGCCTTGTTGGAATTTACCCGACGAGTTGTTGTACGCTCCGTCGTGCTATTATTAGCAAGGATAACTGTTCCGTTGTTATGCTGTTATCGTTAATTGTCCGCGATATAAGACGAATCGCACGCAAGAAAGAGGTATTTCTCTCTCTGGAATGCTTCTTTCTTTCATTTATTCATTGATACAAATCCGTAGCGTCTCCGTAATAATTTATCCATGACGACGCCGCATCAGTTGACGGTTAATATAATTTGCCGTTATCTTTTTGCAGCACTGTTAATTACTATCTGTACAATAATCCGGGAGAGTAACGTACTATAAATTGTAGTATTTGTGTGCAGATATTAAATATAAGATCATCTCTCTCTCTCTCTCTCTCTCTCTCTCTCTCTCTCTCTCTCTCTCTCTCTTTTCTTCTCTTCTCTTTCTTTCTCTCTTTCTTTCTCTCCGGATTATTTTCTCTGGTACTGATTTAGAGATATTCGCGAAATTCAGAGAGTCGCGATTCGAGCTTCTCGTGCCGCAAAGAGCTAACGGAATCTTATAGACATGAGTAGAACGCTGACGAAGGGTTAGATAAGTATCGAGGGTGTTCGATACGATCTCCCGCGTTACCCTGTATCTTCGTGCGCTGGCGAGTTTAATCGATTTGTAATTTTAATCCGGGTTTGCTGGGGATATTTCGCAGGAACCCTCTGGCGCAGTTGGAAGAAGAGAAGAGAGAACACGATAACAAAATGAAGAAGATGGAAACGGAGATGGAGCAGGTGTTTGAAATGAAGGTCCGCGAGAAGAAGCAGAAGTTGAAGGATTCTGAAGCGGATGTGAGTGAGAAGCGAATCTATACCGCTCTTTTGTTCACATATATCAGTACATATAAATAAAAAAAAAATATATATATATATATTTATACTGATAAGAAATACAAAAGGATTTTTCTGAATGTTAACGCGAGAAATTTGCAAACAGTTGCAGAGAAGGCACGAGCAAATGCGACGTTCGTTGGAGCAGCAGGTGCGAGAATTGGAGGAGAAAAGACGGGCGTTCGAGGCGGAGAAGACCGCCTGGGAGCAGCAGACTGGCCACAGTATTGAGGAACTACGTAGACGCAGTTTAGAAGCGAATTCGAAAGAGTAAGTAGCCCTTGTTGAGAGGAGAAAAGGAAAAGGAAAACGATGCATTTCCCTGGACCGTTGTGTTTTCATTGTTGCACTCTCTCACACGTTAATTTATTTATTTGCACTTTTTTTTTTTTAATTATGTCTCGAGCAAGATGTTCCTCGCACGAAGTACCTTCGTAAAGGAAGAGAAATGTCTTCGTGTAGTTTGATCCCCGATTCTTATTTCTCACGTCGGAGACGCTAACGCAATTACGAGCAATTAACGAAGCGGCTATATACATGTGTATCGCTCGAAGCTGTGTCGCTGGTGATTTAGTATCTCGTTAGTTAGTTTCGAGTTGTTTAGACATCCGGTTTTTCAAGGCGCAAAAGCCACACACAACGTAATGTAGAGTCTGGCGCAGCTTTGATGACAGCTTTCTTAGTAGTCCGAGTGTCGCCCACTATCGTACCTTCTTCCGGTCGCGAAGCTCGGTCGCCGAATATTGACGTCAGGTCGCGTTCAGAGTGAATTCTTTCACGGGCTTTATCGTATCACGGATATTTATTTTACGTTTCGAGATCCGCTGTAATATATCGACATTTTGTGTCGATATAATGTCGATATTGATAAATAACACGCGTCACATCGATTAATATGATCGTACAAAACCGCACTAGTACTTTTTTTTAGATTTTTGTGACTAACACCGGCGAGAGATTCTGACGGTGTCGAGACTCCGCATCCTTCGATTGTCGATTCCTCGCTCCGATTCTCTCATCGCGAGAGCATTAACGTTGTCCAAACGAGCAGAAAGGTGGCGTGACGTTTTCGTCAGCGGGAAACCGAGCTCGCGTTCCCGAACGAGAGGAATCCGCGACCGAAAGAAGAACGCGAATAGTGGATCGACCGACGTGTGCCGTATTGTGCGATGTGTGGACCTCGCTCTCCGCTGTATCTCGTAATCTAATTAATATACGTGTTTAGATTAAATGTGAAATTTCGTAGTTGTCGTCCTCGTGCCGCCGCAATATTCCGCTCACGCTTAACATTTACGTTCCTCCGCTGTCCCGGTCGCTTTCACGAAGCTTGCACTAATCACAGAGTGTATAATCATTACCGACACGATACTTTTCCAAGCAGGTCGCTCCTCCGTGTGTACATGTGTGTGTGTGTGCGCGCGCGCGCGCACGCGCGCGCGTGCAGTCGAATTTTGTTTTCTAATATTTACATTAACGCGGCTATAGTTGGCACACGCATCACGCGGCTCCCACGAAGCAAGTTTCTCACCGCGCGTTTAGCGCTGAACGCTTGTCCGGCAGATGGCAATTCGCAAGAAAGAGAAAGAAAGGAAACCGACTCATCCGAGCAACACGAGCACGGCACGGCATGGCATGACACCCATCAGTCGTGAGGTGCGATAGAACATCATCCCTCCGACTTTGTGTTACCTGGATGAATCGAGAACGGGCAAGCCCATTCAGCGCCAAATGCGACGTCTCGGTGTCGCGAACCGCTGACGTTTTCGTGTGTCGCGTGAAGAGGAACGTCGGCGGTTCGGCCGAGGTGGGACTGTTAGAGTGTCTCACGTTGTCGCGATCACGATTCAACAGTCACGTGTAGAGAGCTAAGGCCGCGAACGCGCGCGTCTTTCTCTTTGCTCTCGTGTGGCCGCAAAGAAAGAAAAAAAAAAAAAGAGAAACGAAAAGAAAGAAAGAAAGAAAGAAAGAGAGCAGCCCGGCTTGTTTGTCAGTCTTGTGTGTATACCATATCGCGGTGTCCTCCTGATCTAGGACGGGATCGGTGTCCTCCGAGGGATCCGGAGGTGGCGGGAGTACGTTGAGAGGGTCCCGAGGGATAGGCAGCCTCCTTCGTCGTCACACCAGTTTCAAATCACCTCAAGACAGCCCCACACAGATACTTGTCATACAGCATCCTGAGCACCCCTAATAGACTTGTCGGACACGCTTCGCGAGACTCTCGTGTGCCGAGGTCGCGAATTTCCCACTCGACGCGCTCTCCGCAACCCTCACTCAGACGATCCTGGTCTTTCCGGGAGCTCTTCCACGAGAGCTCTCTAGCAGCGACGAGACCGTGCTCAAATACGAGAAAGATTGCCGACGCGAGAAATGGAAATCAAAATGTCGTCTTTTTATCGAGAACGATCAAATCGGAGGGTAGTCGATGAGAGAGATGGGAGAGAGAGGGAGGGGGAGACAGAGAGAGAGAGAGAGAGAGAGATATTTTACGCGAAAGCGCATGCTATACATATGCTACACAGGACCTCGATCGCCTGATGAAGGGTTAAAGAAAAAGAGTCTCTTCGTATTTGTTGAGGGGAGTAAGTGCCGTCTGTTCGGAATTTTATCGTTTTACCGGTTCTCCTCAAATGTCGAATCTTCGCGCTTCTTTCGGGCCACGAGTACACGAGATGTCTCTGTACTGTGATATCACGGTGACATGGCAGATGGGATAAATCGCGATCTCATCAACTGGAGATTGGCTACCGCGACTGCGTGAAATAGTTGGAAAATCTGCTATGCGTACTCGTTGTCAGTACCGTTGTCGTCGTCGTCATCATTATCATCATCATCGCATAGGCGGCACTTACTCGCACCGATGCGTGTGCGTTGCGCTCGTTCAAGCCGAGTTCGATACATATCGTATAATCAAAAGCGACTGTATATTTCTGATGAGAAGTATATCCGTCGTACAGAGCTACGCCATGCAAAACAAACAGAGGAAGGGACGTAACATTGTCGCGTACACGAGACGCGCGCTTTAGCACTTGTGCGATAAACGCGATCCGCGATGTGATAAAACCCATTCCAGCGATTTTCCAATCCATCGTTCCGTCTCTCTCTCTCTCTCTCTCTCTCTCTCTCTCTCTCTCTCTCTCTCCCCCCCCCCCCCCTCTCTCTCTCTCTCTCTCTCTCTCTCTCTCTCTCTCGCTCTCGCTCGTTCGCTCGCATTCACTCACCTCACACCTCGTTTCTTGTTCTGTTTTTTTTTTTTATAGGTGTCGGTTTCATTAGAGCTACGCGCATTTCGGGACTGCATGCGAGTCGCAACAATACACCTCTTAACGTTCGATCAAAGCCGAGTGAGAATCGATAGATAATGAGAGGGACAAATGTGTGTCGTGGGGAAAATACGGAAATCGATGGCGAACGGCTGGACAAGGTTGTCGAGGGTCCGCCTCTCCCGTCTTTATAAAGATTTTTCTCTTCAATTCAGTCGCTTTATTAATTGAGTGACCGTTCAGCGCGCGGCATTTCCAGCCAGATTGAGCTTCGAGTAGCTGAAAACGGAGGGGAGAGTAACATTTTTTCGAGTGTCACTCTCCACGGATATCGTCTATTCAACGTCAAGTCAAAGTCTCCGTCATTTCCCTCGTATTCGATCAAAAGATATTTGTTATCCGACGAGAACACTCACCAGAGATTGCAAATCGCCGAGGTGTTGTTGGCCGAGTTTTTTTTACCCCTTTGTTTTTACTCGTTGAATCTCTTGGAGTGAAAACTTGCTCCTGCGAGACTTGTGTGAATTTCGCTCAGAGACATTCAAAGAGTAAATAGAGTCGGCTCTTGTTCTCTCATCGAGCGTCGATACTCTCGTTCGTTGTCCTCGCCAACCGGCGCATTTTTCCCCGACACTCTGTCCTCGTCTCAACAACGCAAATTTCACCGTCGCGCGGCGGCGAAGCCGCGTATCTCCGGGTTCATTCACCGCGGCGAGGAATTACGCGCGAATCCCGGGAAGCGCGATTTATCGCACACGCACATACAGCCCCGTTCACACCACTCTCGTTCACGCGAATCTCTCGTGTGCGTTCTCGTCTTCGTTTCTCGCGTTCTCCTTTTCGTCGCAACTGCACGTCGGACTAGCTAGGTATCGCAGAGAACGAGGCTCGCAGACTTGAGATTAGAATTCGACGGTCGGGTATAATTTTGATTATCCCGACCGGTCAGGTTTTAATCCGCAACCTGCGGATGTGCCGAAAGGTTCCTGCCGATAGTCTGACTCGGATTTTCTACACGTGCAAACGTGCGCGCAGAATCTCTCGACGCGAGAACGTTACGGAACGGTATGGCGAATGACGATGGGGAAAGAAACATGTAGACGATATTTTACGCCGTATTGAGTATTATAGCTTGTATGTACGATTTAGCAAGGTATTTTTGACACGGACTTTGATAAAACGCGATAATGATGTAACACGCGCAACACAGCGAAAGTCGTGTGTACAAAACTCCCTTTTCTTACCTTGTCGTAAACATGTCGTTTTTGTACTCTCGCTGTATGTAACACGTATACGCGTTTTACATACCACTTCCTCGGACCTCTCAACCCTTTACCGCGTTGCGTCGCGTGCCATAGCATCGGTCAGCCTTGCCTCTCTCTCTCTCTCTCTCTCTCTCTCTCTCTCTCTCTCTCTCTCTCTCTCTCTCTCTCTCTCTCTCTCTCTCTCTCTCTCTCTCTCTCTCTCTCTCCCCCCCCCCCTCTCTCTCTCTCTCTCTCTCTCTCTCTCTCTCTCTCTCTCTCTCTCTTTTTTGAGCCGATAAAACTACGCCATAAACTACGCTGACCGCCGCGTCATTTCTTATTTACTTTTATTTTTTTTTTTTTTATCGCGACCGTACTCATATATTTATATTATCGCATCCAACAAGAAGCCGCTTTTTATTCGTCTTGAACTTTTTTCCTGTCGTGCGTGTGTGATATGTTATCGAAGGTTGAAAGTGCAGTTTTTTTTTTCTTTTTTCTTCCGTCGTTTTTTGTCTATGAGCTAAACTGTGCGTGTACTTTGCGTTGGGACGGCAAGCGAAATTGTTGTATCCGATTTTGCTGTTTGACTGACATTTGCGCTCGCGCATCAACAAATTAAAAACACACACGGAATTAATCGCGGTGATAGGTCAATGAAACATTCTCCGTCTCGATTAAGCTCCGAGTTGCGGGGCAAAATTGAAGTTGAATGAAGTTTCGCGAATTTTTTTAATTACGCGTCCTCTCGAGGAGAAAGCAGGCATCTTTTTATACGTCTCGCGCGTTTTTCGCCGAAATATACATTTTCCACATCAAACACCGCGCTGTAAAGGGTTGATCTGATGTGTACGAATGATCATTTCGTATGCTCGCGCAGCTAATAAAGATCGAGATATTGTAAACTCTGAGCAAGCTGTCGATCTCGCGCTCGTTCGACTATCACGTGTTTCTTTCTTTTTTTTTTTCTTTTTTTCTCCTGATACATTTCAAAGACTGTTCAACGATTGTCATTGTTTTCCGAATGAATTCTCTCGCGCAAGCATGATCTGACGTTTCGTCTCGAGCAAGATTCGCCGAATTTTGCAAAAGATTCTCGAGTAAAAGAACATAATTCTTGAGAAAAAGGAAGGAAGAAAACCGGAAAGAATAGAGACAGCTTGGTAGAGGATAATAACCGCCTACTACTAATAATTGCTCACAAAAAATTATACATTGTTAATTTCAAGGTTCCGATCTCTTTTTTTTTTTTTTCGCAAAATAAACACCATTGCTTACCTAAAATATTTACTAACCGTTTTCAGTCCTCATGCGATTTTTAGCTTATCTGTATTCGCAGCGTATGCGAGGCGACGAGGGAAAGTTGTGTGTGTGTATGTGTGTGTGTGTGTATATTTATGTCGCAAGAAAAAGAAAATCCGAACGCGAGCGAATACACGAGTAAATGAATCCGAGAGCTCGCAAAACTGATGGGCAAACACAGTCTTGCCTCGTCTTCCTATGCGCCATAGTTCGCTTCACGTGCATATAATTGTTTATCGTTTCGTAACATATCGTCACTTTGACTGAAAGGTTTCTTTCGTAACGGATAATTTAACAGAATGCTTCGCGATAATTGCAAACATATGTTGAACCGCCAAGTTGAGTTAAATTTTAACTCAACGCTTGATGATGATATTCAAACAATTGCTGCTGATAACTAGTTTTTGTAGTCTAGATTTTCACGAATTTCTTAAACTTCGGTCTTTCCAGAGATCAAAGTGGCGATAATGATGTTAATATTTTCAATATTTTCAATATGTATCCGCAATCAGCATAAAGAAAAGTGCAAATATTATCTACGTAGTGCGAATATTTATGTAAATAGTCTCGAATTTACAAATGTGTTCATTTACTTGGTAATAATATTCGGAGAAGCGGATACGTGTGTGAGATCAGGCGAAGGACGCCGGAGGCAAAATCGCAGGCAACGACGAAAACACACTCAACAAGACGTAAGACTTGACGTAACTCTCGGGACGTACTTGCGATTCAGCATGTTGTTGCTCCTTGGTGGCGATACCAAAGGATGGTGTTGAAGCATGGTTTTTTCGCATGAATGGATTTTGTACTGGCAAAATTGCAAATGATTTCGCATAACGGATTACATTGTAACCGGCTGCCAGTCGCTTTATACATTTTTGTTGAGCGTCGGTGTTACGCTTTCCCGAGTCGGTCTCTTGCATCTCTCTGAGAAAATAACACACGCGTCGAAGTGCAAACACCGACGTCGAATGACAATCCGCAAATTTTTCTCGCGATACTCTTGTAAAACATAGGACTACGTCAGACGAAAATAACGAATCGCTTGTCTCGATGTAAGTAACACATGTGTAACATTACATATACATTTTACACAATAGATATCTAGATTATATGATGTATATATAATTATATATAAAAATATATAATTATATATTTTTTATATCATATATAATTATATATATATATTTACACACACGCGCTCCCTTTTTCTCTAAATTTTTCGGGTGAAATTCGCTCTGATTGATGGAAATGTTCACTTGTGTGATTTAAAGAAAAAAAACTCTCTCTAAGCTCCAATTTCACTCTTGCGAGTGACGATATCGCTTCGCTATCGCTTCAAGTGAACTTTACTTACTCTCGAACGCTTTTGAATTTCGCTCTAAAAAAATGTAGAGAGCACATGGATATACTGCGTATCTGTACGCGCTCATGTATAATTATTACTTTGATGATTGATTGAATCGCTATCGTTGATCAACAACAAGAAAGAATATTTGATCGCGAAACAAACTCCAAATTCTTCATCTGGATCGGCTCCGCGTAATCATCAGCGTAATCCTCGTAATGAGTCCCGACTCATGAGACTCACACGCGCGCGTACGCGGCGATTATCAGAGGACGTTGACCGACGCCACTCGGATTAACGCGAACGTGTCATCTGATAATGTTCCGATGATCTTGCGAAAATTGTCATCGCATTATCGGCGGCGACAAGTGCAACGGCGCGCTTTACGATCGGTCTCACGCCGTATTCAGCAATATTCAAATAACTGCTTCATGTGGGAATTCTCCTTTCAGGGCTGTCGACGGTAAAGACAAGAAGAACAAGAAGAAGGGCCTCTTCTAATCGAACACAGCTAGAGATGGGGAGAAAGAAAAATGGGAGGGGAGCGGCCAGACGGACAGGCAGGCAGAGAGGAACAGGGGCGGTTCCGGCGCGCGGTTGTCGTATACTCCCGGCGATAACGATTACCAATGACGAATACACAGCTATAGGTAGATTCCGATGAATTCGGTAGGGCTCGATAGGCGCGATCACACACATCAGGGACCGGCGATCTCGACCGCGATCCCGGTCCCGTTTCGTTTCTCCGTTATTTCTCATCATGTCCCGCTTCTTGCAAAGCCACTCTCCAAGTCCTTCCCCGGGCTGTGGATCTCACTCGAGATGAACGAACGTTCACTCGATGACCTCGAAGATACCGCGATCCTGAGACACACGAGTAAACGTGACTGTCTTTTTCCAGTCGAGTAGACTCGAGACCGAACTTCTTCCTGAGCCGACAGGGGCCATCATCCAGGATCCTTGCTCTGTGAGCTTGCTCTTTGGGTACAACCAGATTCCAAGTTGATTTAACGAATGAGATTTTCTTTTTCACGCTTGCTTCCAAATTTTGTGCTTGTTTTCGGCCCCAGATATTGTACTTGCCCTTCGTACACACGAATATTGGATATAACTTCGTTCTTGAGGAGAATTTTGAGGATCAGAAGCGTATATTTAGCAGAGCGTTCCTCGCACAAATTCAGAATGTCGTCTCTGATTAATTGTTTGGTTTCGAACAAAAATATTCATTCGGCTGAAAAGTTACTCTCGAGTGACTCGACCCGAGTGCCAGTCTACTTCCCGAGTGGAATCTCGCTCAAAGAAATCTTCGAGAGTACGGACTGAGGGAGAGAGAAGACGCGTATATATATACTCGTCATCTCTCTCTCTCTCTCTCTCTCTCTCTCTCTCTCTCTCTCTCTCTGAAACGAAGTTGTGTGTCTCCGCCGCCTGTGCTTTTTCGCGCTTCCTATTAGTACTCGGGAGGGATAAAATAAGGGACAGAAGGGGAGGCGAGAAGAGGAACAAGGGGGAGACATCGTTGCAACTGACGACGTTGCAAAACGTTCCCTTGCACGACGCCTCACCACCGCGTTCAATCCGCGACCACCGCGATTTACTTGCGACACAATTGTACAAAACACGTAGACGTCGTGATCTTTTGGAGAACGTAACTTTCGTACATTTTTCCTTCGACGGACAAGTTTAGCCCCGCAAAAAAAACAATCGTGTAATTTCCGCGTTACGGGAGCGTCACGTTCGAGCCGCCCTCCGTCGAGCACGATTCGTACGGTCGTACGAATTAAACGAGAACACGGCGCGGTGTTCGTATGCCGATGTCGGCTGTGCTTGAAGATACTCGTCATATCATTATACCTTGGAATCAGGGTGATCGAATGACTCGCGTCTGCTAGAGAATAATACAGAGAGCGTTATATACGTTCGGCGACTATTATTCGTCGGGCGAGAGAAACTTGCGTCACTGTCGCGCTCCCTCGTTCGATCGATCGTGTCTCGAATCGAACTGTAAGAAACAGCCGGAATTCCTTGCTTTCGCGACCGACATAACATAACTGACGTGCACTCGCTGAAGGTACGGTCAGTGTTGCAACACTTTGATCCCGGTAAGCTGCAGAACGCGTCCGATAACCCAGCAGGAAAATGTATCTTCTGACACAATTGCTGAAAAACAAATTCTTCTGCTGGACACGGACGCGTTGTGAAACTCGTTGTAGAGGAAAGTGTTGCAACCATTTCCCCACTGACTGTACAATTATCAAGGAAGCACTGGAGCATCCATCTGCCGTTCGTTCAACCACCGGTGATATTTCGGATACGACAGCGGCGAACGAAAAAAAAATACGACACAGCTCGCGCGAGTGGCGAGAGGATAATCGTGGGGGAGGCGGCCGCAGAGAGAGAGAGAGAGAGAGAGAGAGAGAGAGAGAGAGAGAGAGAGGCCGAACGTGATGTCACACAAAAAGTAAGCGGCCATACGGTATGTATACATATATAAATATATATAAATATATATGTTTATTTATGTATAAATATAATACGAGAGAGAGAGAAGCGCGTAAACGTAAGTCTAAAATTCATGTACATGTACATGTAAGCTGCCGCGCTCGTGCGCGGGGCGCGACAATTATCGATTACGATAAGAACGAATCGTTGTATAAAAATAAATCTAAGTGTGTTTGGACCACCGCGCTTCGAGACGGTGCGCTTTTCCCTTTTCTTTCGTTGTTTTTCTTTCTTTTTTTTTTTCTTTCTTTTTATAGACAGTTTAACATGGCCGAGAGAAAAGGGGGAGGGAGGGGAGAGGCAGAAAAGCACATTCGCGCGTTATCTATCCCCACGCGATGTGTGTGATGTTCCCTCCGTCGCGGTAACGCCGAATGTAATCCCTGAGAGAAGAAGGAGAAGCAAGCAGAATGACTTCCGCATAATTAATCATGGCTTTTGTCCGTTTTGTAGTACGAGACATTCTCGTTCGGTGACGAGAACCGTCGAATCGGGACGCGCCGTCTGGAACCCGTCCAAGTTAACATGTCTATAGAGATACTAAGCTACTTAAGTTACTTCTGTGCCAAGACGAGAGGGAGCTGAGCATTTTGTAACGCTAGCGAGAGCGGTCCTTTTCGGTAACCGCGACGTTGAAGCACGATCTCGCGCGGGATTTCCCCTCCGGGAGAATCACGCGGACGCGCTTGAAGGGTTCAGGGGAAACACCACGTTGAAGAGAGCTCCCATTCGACACCTACCGATGGACAATTGTAGAGCCTGAGAGAGCAGTCGCTTGTTGTTGTCGGTCGATTTCGTATTCTTCGGGTATGTGCGGATGTGCGAATTCGCGCGCTTGCTTTTTGCTATGGCGCGTAGTTTATCATTCGATCTCACGATCTGCCCCCTTTGGCCGCACTTTTCCTCTAGCTAGCGCTCCTCTAGCTCTCTCCTCTCGACGAAGCGACGAGCCGAACGAGCGCGTTTCTTTTTGTACGTTGGTACTGAAGAAAGAGAGAAGCACCACATAGTGAGGAGAGAAAGAGGAAGAGAGCGGCCGAAAAGAACGGATCGGCGAAGCGCGCGCGCGTTGCAGAGGCCAGTAAAAATCTATCGTTAGACGATCATCCATGAATTTCGTTCGACATTCTCACACAAATTCGCACATAGATATATTCGATATTACATACTCTATTTTACTACGTACGTAAACACCTTACGCTTCCCCCGTTCCCTTCACACATCACGGGGCTGAGGAACACGCGTGCGCGCGTGTGCGCCACATTCCTATTTTGTACGCATTTTTCTAAATAGGCTCGCCGGCTCGAGCGTATGCCGTTTCGCCAACGCGTGGCTACTTTAATCTCCTCCCGTTTGCACTCTTAGCGTATATTGTGTCGGATAGTCGAAGGTAAGACGAGAGAGCGAGCGGCCGCACATTTTCAAGAGGCCTGAACGGAGATCGCTCTGTTCTCTCGACAGTTCTCTCCGGGGGAGACGGGCGTGCGTGAGGATGTGTGAATGTGCTCGTGTGCTCGACCAAGTCCTGGGGAAGCACGATCCATAGGGAGAGAGAGAGAGAGAAAGAGTCTCTTCTCGAGGCCGCTCTGGCCTCTGGAGAACCGCGAATCAAACGAGGTGAAAACGTGTAAAATCCGTGTTATTAGATTAGGCTTTCCGCGCGGGAAAACGGACTGTCGATTGTACTTAACTGTCGGCGCGACGATCGCTTTTCCGCGATGCAAAAGGAGGAGTAAGAAGGAAAAGAAGAAGAAGAAAAAGAAGAAGAAGAAGAAGAAGAAGAGCGGCCGATGTCGAGCCGGACGCGGAGAGTAGACTTTATTTATAAGGCTGAACCGAAGGCCAGAAAATGAGCCGGGAAGTGTAACACGATAAAAAACTATGTGTATTTCTGTGGGCGATGCTTGTGTTTAAATGGTTACTCATAGGATCATTGTGAAGTGACTCACGGGCGCGCGACAATCGACTCGCGCGATTACGTCCGCTCGGGGGTAAGACGGAGGTTTGGGAAAGAATGTACGGGGAAGGTTGGCCGGAAAGAGAAAGAGAGAAAAGAGGGCTAGATAGACGAAACAAATTATATTTTGCCGTGCCAGATGAAAACAAAGCTGCCGTCGCTAATTGTAGACCAGTTGTAATAACGACTCACTATTGTATCGCGACGAACACACATACATACGCATACATTCATTCATCCACCCACCCACACACATACACGTACACACACTTTAGAGTATATGTATATCCAGTAAATTATATATAAAACTATAAGAGACGGGGGTTTGTCGTGCTCTCCTCTGATCCGTTTCGCTCCTTCGCGAGAGCCTTCCCGCCGCGATCCCAAGTGCGAAAACTCCAAAATCGATCGCCTCGCAAGAACGTTGTGTCCTTCTTCACCTGTGTGTCACCTTCGTCCTGTCAGACAATCAGATGCGAAGACTATAGACGAGGCACGTCTGGTGGGCAACGCACGCAGGACTTTTTGTGATCATCAACGAGATTGTTCGTCACACCATTATCATATCGCACCGTCGAGCGTTTTCTCGTGCGCGCATCAAGCAATCTGTCATCTGAAATAGAATTCACGAGGGCAAAGTTCAGTACGGTTTCTATTTTTTTGGCTCTTACGCAACGAACAATGACAATGACGAAAGCTACTGCGTTCTGTTTGGCGCACGGCGATAACGCGTTCGTAAATATTGGGTTGGCAACCAAGTGATTGCGGATTTTGTCGACAGAATGGATTTTACACTTTCTTGTTTCGTTAACGTGTTCAAAGTACCTAACCTATATTTTTTTCTTATTGTTTGGACTTCTATCTTTCATTTAGTACAAAAATTATATCGATTAGTTCTTTAGTTTTGTTTTTATCCCAATTTAAAAATGGAAGAGCAAGCAAGTGCACTTCAGACATATTTTATTGTATTATTTCCGAAAAGGCAAGAACGCATCGTAAGCACACAAGAAGTTATGTGCCGTATATGGGAATGAAGCCTTGAACGAAAGGCAGTGTCAAAATTGGTTTGCCAGATTTCGTTCTGGTGATTTTTCATTGAAAAATGCTCAACGATCTGGCCGTTCCAGTTGAAGTCGATGAGACCCATATCAAGGCCATTATCGATTCAGATCGTCATAGCACAACACGTGATATTGCAGAGAAGGTCAATGTATCGCATACATGCATTGAAAAAAATTTTAAAAAGTAAATTTAAAATTTTGAATTTTCATTCTTATTTAAAATTCGCAATCACTTGGTTGCCAACCCAATAGTTTTGAATATTAACTCGAATAAATTAGAGACTAAACGATACAAGTATATATAAATTGCAACGATCTAACGTGTTTTAGATAACATTTATGCTCCCGATAACGACTAGATTTTATATTTAGTTGCATTTCTATCAATTTTTTTTTTCGGCACAACACTGATCTCCCTCGAGACCAGCATCGATAAAGTTCCAGCAAACACGCGTTTTAAAATTTCAGGCCTCTGCTCTTCCTGTTTCTTAAAGTTCTTGACGTCGTTGAAGTTTGGAGCGTTCTTGGAGCGAAAATTGAAAATAGCTTTTATTTAACAAAAAACCACTTAATATAAATGTAAATACATATAAAAGATAAATTTGTGTTAAATATGACATGACATTATAAGAAAGTTGTAATTCCCGAAAATTACGCACATATAATCATTCATACAGATTATAATTATTTCCGGCACTCACAGCGCTCTGTGCCAAAAACTGACAATGCTTTCTCACTCTCTGGCAATACAACTTTCTCATAATGTCATGTCATATTTAACAACAAATTTATCTTTTATATGTATTTACATTTATATTAAGTGGTTTTTTGTTAAATAAAAGTTAGTTTCAATTTTCGCTCCAAGAACGCTCCAAACTTCAACGACGTAGTTCTTGATCTCTTTTGCCGCCAAGAGTCCTTGGTAGTAGACGTCAGAAATAAAAACGTACGTCCACGCTGCAAAGTAGTAGTTATGTGGAAGTAAAAAAATGTTTTCCTAATACTTTATATACATCTTTTTAAATCGTATATATTTTTAAACGATAAAGTGACCGACGAAGAATTTAAAAAATTAACTATTTCTTCTATTCTAACGATCGATAACCAACCACGAAGTTAACGTTAAACACACGGCCTTCCTTCTCAGTCAATCTATGCCCACGTAATATTGTTACGCTGCTCTTTTTGCCTATTTTGATTTATTCGGCAAGAGAGAAATTTTTTCGAGCACCTTGGAAATTTGATCGACCGACTGCAAGTGTCGTTTTATGGATATATCTCTTTTTATTTCGTACGCAAGGGATTTTGAGCGAACGAATTTCCGCTTCTAACGTTTCATTCCAAATAGTTATGGCGAGGAAACCTTAATGCGTTTTAATTACGGATAATAACGGCGGTGAGTGAAAAGACATTTCGTAACGCAGAACGATACCGTCGTCGAAGTTTACGTACTCGTTTTTGTCGCTTGTGTTTAGCCGTCTACTCAACGCGTATCTTAAGCGCAAAAGTGATAAATATTAACGGACATTCGTAAGCGCCTCGAACGTGCAATTTACGCGAAACCCAATTCTCAATAGCGCTCGGCCAAATGCGCAAAAACTTTTCGTCGATTTCCCGCGAGAGGCAACCGGTTTCGCTTCCTCGATCAAAATATCGCAAATATCGATCCGACGCGATCCAAGAAGGGTGCGCGTTGGCTGATCTCATCGCTCCGAATTCTTGGCTAATAATTGTTTAGCTGCAAACGCACCACATTTTTGTTTCGCGCGAATGCAAGCCACGGTCGTCGATTTATCTTTAACGACATTACATTATAATTCGCATTCTTTCATCGTGCGCTCATTGCGGGGATCTCCTGATTGCATATCATCAAGTAATACGCAAATACAACGGCCGCATTAATCGTTGTTTAAAGATAGTAGAAGAAAACGACCTCCAACGAGTGCTATTCTCCCTCGTCGACATGTGTGCGTTATTGGTGTTAATTGTGACAAAAATTCTACGCTGTTTCCCTTCACTTCCTCGCTTTTAGCGTCTGTAGAAAGTCCACACGCAAGCGTTATTATATTTCCTTTCCCTCTTTTTTTTTTTTTTTTTTTTTTCGTTTTTGCGAACATCGGCGTCCTTGACAACACTTCGCCGAGTTATCGCTGAAATTATATAGAACGCTCGACTTCGTCAGAGCCACAGAATTTATTGCATTCTTTTCGTCGGTAATCTCTCGCTGTTCTGTTCGCCGATAACGACACAATTATTCGCCGCATCGGTGATGATGATTCGAGCAACAAAAATAGGACACATAATTCGGTAAGAATCAGCCGCTTTAAGAGTCTAATCGAGCGAGTTTGTGTCGAATTAATTATTTCGCATCTTCTCCGGCCGAAATATTCGTCATGATGACGCGACAATAATCGATATCGACCATGAGGTCATGTACAAAAGTGACGTCAAGGGACGATGTGCGAATTAAATTGATGCGATCGGTCAAGCCTTCTTTTAACATAAATAATGCGACTCTAGCGAGTGTTAACGGGAATTAAAGTCGACGATGCGAAATGTTTCGTTCGCACGGTATCTTATCCTCCAAAAGTTTGACATTTATCATCTTCTCGCCGAACAAATTCATCGCGTTTGCAAACGGTTGTCGTTGCGTTTCACCGGATGAAATCTCGCAAACGGACATCAAAGAAATTACAACGTAAATTAATATACGGGACGATTCAGAACAACCTTTTAAAGATAAAACTACAAAATCCTGACAAAATTCTAAGATACTTTTTCCTCTTGCAAAACTCTGTCTGAAGCTTATTTTTTAACACATTGCATGCGGGAAACGTACTTTTTTTACGTGGGTCACGTAAAAGTACGTAGATTTGTGTTAGTATAAGATTTGTGCTGGAGAGCGCGGGTATCGTATAAATACGATGGGCATTGTATGGTGTTTGTGTTGCTAGGCAACGATTTCCATTGTTTCTTTCTAGAAGTTTAGTTTGTCGAGTTATGAAAAAGTATTTTTGAATAAATAGTAAAATTAAAAATTGTCTATTTTCCTTTCATTTTTAGTTCGCTATTCTATATTTACTTATTAAAAAAAAAAATGTTTTTTTTTTAAATAATCGTACAGCGTATATTTAAGTGTAAAATAAAAAAAGTTTCGTTGAGAAAAACGAAGTAGTTATCGATTTAATGCGATTTTACTGAATGACCAAACTCCCGCGTGCAATGTGTTAAGTTATCGGCAAAAATGGTTACTTTATTACGAGTCGGCGGATACAAAAGGTAGACAAGGATGGCGCGCGACTCGTCGTGAAACGCGGGCGCTAATACGGGTTGTTTGCTGCAATCAACTGTTCGCTTCACCAGCTACGTTTCAATATTCACTGTAAAAGCCAATGTAAAGATTGTGTGTTATAATAGAAAAGATTTTGACAACTGGCAATAATGTTGAAAATTTGCACACAAATGAAAGCAAGTTCAGCTTCTTCTGGTCTCTTTCTTCTGGTTCCTTTTTTTCACTCACTTACCAACTTGGAATAAAAAGAGAAGAAAAACATTAATAAATATATTTGTTGGTTGATTACGGTTAATCACGATCGATCGATAAATGTTTGTTCAGCGATTGCCAAGTCTCGAGAAAATAATCACGTGTTTCTTCCAGGAATTATCAATCGCCATCAGCAACACAACACAACACAACACAACACGTGCTTATTTCACTACAAGAAGCAGCCACAGATAGTTTGACAGATAACGCTAGTACATACACGCAGCAAAAGTGTTTAGGAGGCTACATAAGAATACAGAGGAAGAACGGGAAAAAAAAACATTTCCTTCCGTTCTCTCACCGTTGTGTCAACAACGCGCCATGTCCACTGAAAGGCTTATCGGTATAACTGCGCTATCACCTGCGACATCCGTATAACGGACCCGTATAAGGTAATTTTTGCCAATATTTATGCCAATAACAAAAAATAAGCTTCGGAGACAGAGCAAGGGAAAAAAGTATCTTAAAATCTTGTCAGAATTTTGCAGTTTTATTTTTAAAAGGTTCTGTTCTGAATCATCCTATATACAGAATGCCAAATTTCAAACGTAACGGCTAAAAAATCTCGAAAACTATGAAAGATATTAAAAGAAGCTAAAAACACGTATTCCATGATTTCGAAGGGGAAAGAGAATGGCATTATCAGTTTTTTATTTGGAGGGCATTATTTCAAGGTCAGTTGAAGGTCAACTTAATTTTTTAACTGGAAAGCCCAATTTTTTATTATATCTTCTTTTTCTACCAATTAATTTTAACAACTTTTGTCTGAAACATTTTTTTATTTGCCTAATATTTCTTGAAATATTTAAGGAAAACTTGGTAACTTTTTCAACATTTAACTTACGATATCTCGCTAACTATTCGTCGAAAGAAAAAACAGTATTAGACTTTTCTACTTTATTTATCGTCTAGAATATATTACTACAATAGTGCCCTAATTTTCGTTAACTTATCGACCTTTGAAAATTTCAAAATTATTAAATTAACAAAAGTTAGGGCACTATTACAGTAATAATACTCTTGATAGTAAATAAAGTAAAAAAGTCTAATACTATTTCTTCTTTCGACGAATAGTTAGCGAGATAAGTGAGATAGCGTAAGTTAAATATTGAAAAAGTTACCAAGTTTCCCTTAAATATTTCAAAAGATATTAGGCAAATAAAAAAATGTTCCAAACAAAAGTTGTTAAAATTAATTGGTAGAAAAAGAAGATATAATAAAAAATTGGGCTTTCCAGTTAAAAAATTAAGTTGACCTTCAACTGACCTTGAAATAATGCCCTCCAAATAAAAAACTGATAATGCCATTCTCTTTCCCCTTCGAAATCATGGAACACGTGTCTTAGCTTCTTTTAATATCTTTCGTAGTTTTTTATCTGTTACGTTTGAAATTTAGTACTCTGCATATACATATGGTAATAATATTAGTCAGCGCTATTTATCGCAAGAGGCTTGCGTAACGCGTCACGATGGGGAAAAGTCCACGTGCTACTACCGCGTGAAAGATGCGGTTGAGTCAAGCTGGAAAATGAGCGCAGGGGAAAGAAGCGGACTGGTTGACTCGGTTGACAAAAATTTTGCAACATTATAGCTACAAGCGGACTCGCTCGAGGCGGTAAAACGCGAGAAGAGAGAAATCACGTGTAGCGGCGACTCGCTCGCTCGGGGCTGTTTTCCAGCAAAGACACGCGATATACAAAGTCGGAAGCAAACATATTCCGGCCATTACTTCCAGCCACCGGGTCTTCTCTCGTCTCTCGGTGGATCTTTCTGACGTTATACTCGCCGCGTACTTTCGGAGCAAAATGTATTATACACACGTCGTGACCCAATGCCCCGCTGTTCTGGCCCCTAACGGTCCGTTTGACTATTCAAAAGACGAGCGAACAATCCCACAGCACGTTTCTGTCGCCGCACGTCGGTCGTCGTCTATTCATGTCCTCCTTATCGACAGGTGCAATGAAAGGTCGCATGAATTTTTTATCTACGTCCGTTGTACGTCGCCACGCGAACAAACATGATGCGCAAAGTCCAGTATTTGAAAGTATATAAGCGATCGAACCACCACGACCACCACGCGATCGAAAGCGATATCCTCCTCCGAGTCTCACAGTCCCGGAAACGCGCGGTGAGCGTAGCTGAAAGTCCGTGATACTTACCGTCACTTTCACCAAACTCTAATTGATCTAATCGGGATTCCAAAGCCCGCCGAAACAGGCGATCTCTGTTCGCCTCTGTTTGCCTCGCCGAGGTGAACAACGAGACGACTGTCAGTTTTTCGGTTATTTTCGAACTCTACCGAGTTCGTCGAATCCGTCGATTAGCTCGACGAACGGACGACACAGAGACAACATTCTTCGCGCAGGACTCGTTGCGGCGCTACCGCGACGCTATCATTGTCACCCCTTGCCGTACTCGCTGCAAAAGGCGCGACATCTTCTGCTTTTGTATATCCCTTCACGCGTCCCGTTTGCTCCGATTTATCTGATACGCGCGAACTTTGCCTCTCCTTGACTTTGCCCTCTTCCGTCCCCCTCCGCAGCTCGTCCTCTCCAGTCTCGCCGATCCCCACCGCTCGCGCCGGCCGGCCGGCGGCGCGTTTATTACAACGCGCTGCCGACTGCAGCGCGACGCCGTTCGCCGTTCGCCGTTCGCCGCAGCTAGTCGACGTCCGCGGATCGTGGCGGGCCGGAGGAGTCACGACGTCGTCTCGCGCGCGGCATCGCGCTGAGGAGCGCTTGATGTGCGCGACCTAACGGAACAGCGGAGCGGTGGTAAGCTGAGGAGGTGGAGGAGAAAGAAAGAAGAGAGGCGAGCTTCTCCGCGGGCACGCGATCGAAAGTCGCACGGCGTCGACGACCGGGATTTTCACTTGTGCTGCGCGCACGCGCATGCGCACGCACGCGGCCACGAGTTTCACTTCTAACCTGAATTCGACGCGGACGAGAGCGCGGACGCGCGCGCACGCGCGAGCATCCGCGGCATACCACAGCGACGAGGAGACGAGGAGGCGAGATCGCCGCTACGGAGTGAGTTGACTTGCTTCGGGAGGTGCGTATCGTCCGGCGAGAATCCCCGGACTGCGGAGCTGCGACGAGCTGCGAGCGCGACGTCGTAGCCGACGGCTACGCGCCCTGGACGTAATTTCGCGCACGCAGTGCGCACTCTTTTCCGGCTTCCAATTAGGCCCGTGGCACGCAGGAAAAACGTGTAAGCAGCGAAGGCACCTTCGCACGACGACATCGATTCGACGGTCGTACTTGGGGATTTTATCCTCGCGCTCTTATCTATCCCGGTAATTCAACTCCGGGCCCCATGATCAGCCCCGCGACTCGTTTGTGCATTGTAGAGCCTCCTTTATATTCGCCGGTTCAATCTCGATTTCGACAATCGCGGTTTACTCGATCATCTTGTCCCATCTTGGTAGTGTCTCGTTGTTGCGCGTAATTCATCGGTTAAATTTCGTCACAAGTATGCAAGTGTGAACGAGAAAGGGCTCGTATCACTCGCCACGGACTCGCGCGGATACGCGGAGACTTCTGTATTACCGCGCAAGTTCGAGCGCTTAGGATTAACCCCGACTCGAGCACCACCCACACGCGTAGCCGCGCACATCACGAGCGTGCGACGCGATTTATTAAATTGGAATTAACCGGCAGGTTTGTCATTGTCGTCGTCGCAGCGGCGGCAGCAGCAGCAGCAGCGGAGTGTGATCGCGTAAATCAGCTTACCGAGAGAGAGAGAGAGAGAGAGAGAGAGAGAGAGAGAAAGAGAGAGGGAGGGAGAGAGAGAAAAGCAGAGTCTTCTTCCAATAACGGAACGTACTATCCGACCAGCAGCAACCGACGAGTCGAGCGAGATGTGGCCAAAGGACGTCGGCATCCTGGCGCTGGAGGTGTACTTCCCCGCGCAGTACGTGGAACAGAGTGAACTGGAGGCCTACTACGGCGTGTCGGCCGGCAAGTACACGATCGGCCTCGGCCAGGCGCGGATGGGCTTCTGCAACGACCGCGAGGACATCAACTCGCTGTGCCTGACGGTGACGCACCGGTTGATGGAACGCTACAACGTACGGCCGCAGCAGATCGGCCGCCTGGAGGTCGGCACCGAGACGATCATCGACAAGAGCAAGTCCGTCAAGTCCGTGCTGATGCAGCTGTTCGAGCCGCACGGCTGCACCGACATCGAGGGCGCGGACACGACCAACGCGTGCTACGGCGGCACCAACGCGCTCTTCAACGCCGTCGCCTGGGTGGAGAGCAGCGCGTGGGACGGCAGGTGGGCCTTGGTGGTCGCGGCCGACAGCGCGATCTACGACGAGGGCAGCGCGAGGGCGACCGGCGGTGCCGGGGCGATCGCGATCCTGGTAGGTCCGGACGCGCCGTTGGTGTTCGACCGGGGCCTACGGGCGTCTTGCATGCGACACTCCTACGACTTCTACAAGCCGAACCTGCGCTCCGAGTACCCGATGGTGGACGGCAAGCTGTCGATCCAGTGCTACCTCAGCGCCTTGGACAGTTGCTACCAAAAGTACCGCGAGAAGGTCGCCAAGCGAGACCCCGAGTCAAGCGAGACCGCGAGTCTCGCCGACTTCGACGCGGTCCTCTTCCACTCGCCGTACTGCAAGCTCGTGCAGAAGTCCTTCGCCAGGCTGGCCTTTATAGACTTCCTCAACACGCCCAGGGAACGGTTGCCCGACGGCTACGGAGACGTCCAGACGTTCCACGCCAGCAAGCTCGAGGACACGTACTTCGACCGGGACATCGAGAAGGCGTTCATGGGCCTGAGCAAGCGCGACTTTGAGCGCAAGACTCAGCCGAGCCTGCTGATCGCCAACCAGGTGGGCAACATGTACACACCGTCGGTGTACTGCGGCCTGGTGTCGTCGCTGATATCCAAGCCGATTGACGAGCTCGCCGGCAACAAGATAGCCATATTCTCGTACGGTTCTGGCATGTGCTCCAGCATGTACTCGTTGACCGTGACCAAGGACACGCAAAAGGACTCGAGCCTAGCGAGGATGATCGCCGCTCTCTCCTACATCAAGTCGCAGCTGCAGGCGCGGCAGCGCGTCTCACCGGCCGACTACACCAAGACCTTGGCGCTGAGGGAGCAGAATTACCACGTCGTGCCATTCGTGCCCGTGAGCAGCACCGACAACATGTTCCCGGGCACATATTACCTCACGCAGGTGGACGAGAAGTACAGAAGGACTTACGCGAGAATATGAGATCAGCTATATTAGTAGGCAACCAAGTTTATTAAATTATTTGCGGCTCGCTTCCCGGTTTGCCCTTTCTTCCTTTTTCGCGCACGAAGCTATGTAGGACATGAAAGAGGTTCGTGGAAAGAGAGGGGAACAGAGAGAGAGAGAGAGAGAGAGAGCGAGAGCGAGCTGTAGCTCGACGTTGCAATTTGTCTCGTCCTTACGCGATGCGATGCGATATATGATGTTGAGAGCGAGGAAGAAAGTTGACGTGTCGAGATGCTCGATACGGAGTCAACGGCCGATTTTTATTTATCTGTCCTGACCTCTTTCCGATAATTAATTGTATATTAAAATTGTCCCGTTCTCTTCGCGAAGTCGGACCGAACTTGATTACTTTCCAACATCGGACTTTTCGATGCGACTGCATCGGCAGCGGTAAATATGAATTATGTAAATTTCTCAGGAAGTACGATTAATTAATTAAGTCATTCGCGTTGTCGTCACCGCAAGAGTATCGGGTTTGGTGAGAAGACGGTTCACGTAGACGCTCATTCCGTCTCATGCGTGATTTTAATGGCGAGTATTTTTGAAAAGAGCAGAGAATAGAGGAGAATCTGGTTGTAGCGCACACCGTTAGTCTCTTCGCTTCGATTTATCGTATCGTATGTAACTCTTAACGCAAAATTACGTGCACATACACATATACCGTTCCTTACAACGTCAATTGCAGAGACTTTTCAATATATCTGTAATCCACCGAAGCTTGTCTGATTAATTGTTGTAGCTTGTTGACACGTGCTTGTTGTATACACAATGTTATTGTAACAACGACGTTTGCGCGTCGTGAACAAGTCTAATTTATCACGTATTACGTTCAGAGAAAAGAGAGCACATTCTCCGAGGTTCCCAATGACGTCTTCTTATCGCAATGCTATCGAATTGGAACATCAGATATGAAAGCGCCCAGCTTCTGTGTCTGGACATCGACGATACGAGGGCAAAATGCACACGATCTCTCTCTTGTCGCCCGTCACATCTTTTGACAGAGTTCATAGCGAAGGACCAGAAGCCTTAACGTGAAGACAGTGTAAAAACAGTGCCTTAAGTATACAGACTATTGTCATATACAAAAAAGAAATTGGGTGGAGGAGAGGAGGGGAAATAATTAGAGAAATTGGTTTGGGAGCTGACGTTCTTTATATGTTCACCCTATTCCTGTCACCTGCGTCTCATTCGAGGTTCGAAGAGAAACTAGACGCGGATTAACATACGAACGACTTCAAGCAGGATTCGGAATGCGTATCCTACTTCTCGGACGATTCGTGGTGTAACATTTCGGATTTAATCTTTGATATGTACGACGGACGGCGGTCGTTCTCCGTCGGATATTTGTCGCGACGAATTTGCGTTGCGAAATATGCATCTTCTTTTTTTATCTTCTTTTCTACGTTGTCTTCCAGTATGCGATAAAACGCTACGATTGAAGTTATTGATTAGTATTTTACACAACGGACAATTGCAATATATATATATATATATTTATTTATTAATCGGGTAAACAAATTTATCGTGCAATCAAGCAATTGAGCCGTATATAAATAAATCCGTACAAATAAACCACAAGTCAGGTAACACAAGACGTCTTAGAGTCGTGCCACGAACATGTTCAAAAACTCCGCAGCAGGTATTCTAGGACGTTCTGAGCATATGGAGGGTAAACTCGAGATGTTTTGCGCTAGGAATAACAACAATAACGAATACAAGTTGATTCTGTTCACACGTAGAAATCAATGACATGGTATTAGTATCAGCTCACTGTGATAAATGCCTTCTTGACATTTGCCGTGATCGTATTATTTCAGATCGATGGAGAATCGTTCTTTTTCATTGAATAGCACAAAGGTTGATCTATATATTGCGAGTCGATCGATCGTTTGTATTGATTGGCGGAAGCCAATTAGACGTTAATTGTACGAGTGATCTCCGGAGGATTTGTAACGAGTAAAAAATGAATTATTTATTACAATTTAGAATATCAACATGTACACAGGGTACGATACATAAGTGGTTTTTATATTATATACGTACCAGGCGCAATATATTAAATAACATACATTAACAAACTATCGCAATGCACACGAGATGTATCTCAGAAAAAATATATATTTTTCAATTATCTACACACATATATAAATAAATGAATAAATATATATATATAAATATATTTATTTATTTATTTATATGATATAAATACGTAATAAATATTTTGTATTACAATGTACAGTGACAATTTCTATTGCACTATTGCGAATCTCGTGTATCATTTCGACGTATAATCGCGGTGTACCAAGATACCGTAAATTTATATCCGTAAATTTAGATCGGACTTCTTTTTCGCATGTACATACCAACTCGAAATATGTACATATAATTGACGTAACCAACAACGTGGTGAAAGAGGTCGGAGAGTGTACGTATTCTACTTCCAGTATCTAAAATATATTTTTCACTTCAGTAATCCACCAAGATCTGAGATTTACGAATTACGCAATGCAGTTAGGCAATTTACGCAATCTACGCTAAGTTCGCACAAGATTTATCAAGCACTGCATTGCGTACCGTAGAGTACTCTGTACGAGGGAACGCGAATCAACAACAAACCTCCCGAGGATAATACATTTTCGTGCAATGTAAATTATTAGAAAAATATAGTACAATTATTTGTATTAGCGATAATAAAGAGATTCGTTATATCATTTGTTCATAAATAACAATCACGTTTGTTCACGCGGAATGCGCATTCTCGTCGCGCTTTAAGATGCAGCAATTTGTTTCCAAGTTATTCTCACGTGAAGCGAAAGACTGAAAATTAAACAACCTTTTTCGACGCAAAACGAATGTCGAGAATGCAACTAAAGATCAGTATGTACAATCTTGTAATCCGAACTCGAAGTTATTATGCGATACTTTAAGAGAGCATTCTGAATTTCAATTAGAAATTTCAACGTTAGCCTTAGAATATGCTGTAAAGATATACGATAATTTTGAACTCTGTGTATATGTGTGCGTGTGTACATACACACCGAATAATTCATTTTAGTTTTAACAGACAATGTTCTGAGAAAACGCTGTACTTAAAAGAAAAAAAAAAAAAAAGAGAAAAACAAAAAGATAAAATAACACATCTTAGAATATGTCATATTTTATGTCAAAATATCAGAATAAAATATCGAGAAAATATTCAATTTTCAATGATCTTGCATCAATATTTTTGTACATAAAATGATGAATGGAATTGATTTATATCAAACAAACTACATAATTCTATTAAAGAAACTAAGGCTTTAAACTTAGCTCCATTAAAGAAACTAAATATCTTATCAATACTACTATTTTGCCTTCTTTCATCCAACTTTTAACTTTTATTTTGAAAAATACTTTTGGATATATATATTTTGGAAATTTCCCATGAAAATTAAAATGAATCACCTTGTATGTGTGTGTGTATATATATATATGTAAATAAATAGAATAAATTAAAAAGTTAAGTTACCACGCACTATATTTAAATCGTCTATAATCCTCACAATCGCACTTTGTGAATGTATTCACATATTATATGAAAATATGGGACGTTTATAGAAAGTTTTTCAAGGCACTGGACATCCAAAATGTGTTCAGGTCGCTGTAGTATTTGTAAAATATTGTGTGCATATGTATGCGCGCGCGCATGTGTGTATATTTATATATTTGTATATATGTATGTACTTGTTAAATCGCATATAAAAATATACAAACGTGCTCTTGGACAACAAACAACCAGAGCGAAAGTGTAAGTCACCCTATTTTTAAGGATTGGATTCTTACGAGATTCATATTTCTCGATACAAGAATAACTATGAACGTTCTATTTCACACAGATAATAAAGTGCTATCTTTAACTTCATATATAATAATATGCGTTTCGTAGGGATACTTACGGACTGATTTTGACTGCTCCATTTCAAAATAAATATTAATTTTTATCACCGTAATGAAATAAGAGGCAATAAGTCGAAGAAAAGAAATATTTGCTCTACCCATGTACTTTCGATCTTATCCATAGTTTCATCTTATCCATGGATAAGGATAATTACATACAGACTTAGTGCCTCTTATCTTGTTACATAATTCATCTCTGCATTGATATCTTGACCATCCAAATATACTTGGAGTTACGAAGTGAAGGAGTTATCTAAAGTTTCGAAATATCTTATACTAACAGCTTGAACAAGAAGACAAATTTCGTCCCACGCCAAGTCTCACCACATCGTTCTCGCTTGCGCTAATTTGGCGATTTTCATGTCGTCTCTAAAAGCGCAGATAAATTGTAATAAAATGTAAAGATATGATTGCGCAACACAATCAAGGGGGAAGTTTACCTTGAGTTCAGATGCCAGATAGAAAAAAATGGTGTCTATATTTGTGTTATCTTTGGCTGAGGTCTCCACTATGTGTAAAACTTCAGGCAGATATTCGCACAAAGCTTCAGCCTCCTCTTTTTTCACTTCTCGCAGATCTTCCAGGTCGCATTTATTACCTGATAAAATGAAAACAAATAGAATTAATAACACATTGCTATATAATAACATATTACTATATGATAGTAATTATAAACATACAAATGACCATACCAACTAAGACTAATAACACATGTGATGAAGTATATCTTCGAACTTCCTCCATCCAACGTTGCAAATTCAAGAATGTCGATCGCTTTGTGATATCGTAAACTAAAATATATTTATACTTTAAGAAAATATTGCTTGCTACTTTCAGTTAGTGATGTATTATTTAAACCAGTGGTACAATATAAGTAAAAAAAAATTATCTCCTATATAGCTGATATAAAGAATGCTGATCCATGCGCATACCTATGATTACTCCATTTGCAGATCTATAGTAACTCTGAGTTATTGTACGAAACCTTTCTTGCCCTGCAGTATCCCATATTTGTAGCTGTCCACAACAAAAAGAACGATTGTAATAACTGTTACGATTTCAAGTGAAATATTTCAACTGTGTATGTAAGATGTCCTAAATTTGCTGAGATATTTTGTCTGCGAATAAGAATGTACCACTAATGTATTGATTACGAAAACATCTCATCAACAGAATTATGAAGCCCAGGTTGAACAAACAATCGCTCAGGCAACATAAAAGACACCTGAAAAAGACATCCTATTTTCCAGATACTTTTTTTGATATCTTTAAAGCGTATTTTAAATATTTATTGTATTATCTAAATAATTCTCGCCTAGGTTAGGACACCAGGTTGAACAATTCAAACGTTCCTCTTACCTTGACCCTCTTGCCGTCTATCAGCACGGTCTTCATGGAAAAGTCGACACCGATGGTATTTCCCTGGCGTTCGACATATGTGCCCGACTTGAAGCGCTGCACCACGCAAGTCTTGCCTGTACCGCAGTCACCGATCAGCACAATTTTGAACAGGTAGTCGAAGTTCTCGTCGTTCGTGCTCACCATCAAATTGTCGGGGTCGCGGTACGACATTCTCACCGACAGGTACGCGACGACGACGACGACGACAACAAGGATCAAACATTCGGGATGCTGCACTTTCTGCGACACATACTCTCTACACCATCATTACTCACCGCCACCGTCTCCTCCTCAAGCTTTCCTTCACCTAATTGCGTCCATCTTGGTTCATCTTTCCGCCCTACTGCTTATGATATTAGCTATAACTCGTACAAACTTGTAAGACTGACAAAGAATACTCAACTTTGCGGATGTCTTACCAATTAACAAATTAACAATTGCTCAATTTTCGGCTAGTCGCATCGTTTCTAATTGTGTTTTTTATGACTGTTAATTTAATCCACAGAGCAAGAATGCATTCAAAGAACATTTTAACACTTCATCGTCACATTAAAAAGAATTGATAAAAATCGAGCAGATTTCTATTGTCCATAATAAAACTTTGGGATAAACAAAAAGAAAATTGTGTCATAATTATTAACACACATATACGTGCGCACACGCATGTATACACATTAATATTATGCGTATTATTACATATTTACTGAAGCAATGGCTGTACAGAAATTTTTTATGAATTGCAATAAGATAGTTTGATCTCATTTATTACTTTTCTCATAAATGGAAAAGATTCTTACACATTAGAAAATATATTTCTAAACAAATTAGTTTGAATGTCACCATTTGATCAACCATTATTTCCAAATCGTCACTGTAAACTATTGTCATTGATGAGACATTAAGGTTGCAATACAATGATACAAAAAAAAATCTTAATTTCTTGACATAGTAACAACAGATCTTCTATTTTTCAAGAACATGATCGTATGGCTTGCCATACGACCATGTCCAAGTCAAGTTTTTATATGTTAATTTAAAAGACCTAGAAGTAAATTGCTAAACATATATATTTAACAATTCTTTCTTAGATACACAACTATAGGACCGCAAGTTACAAGAAACCTTAGCATTACTTCTTAGAACTATTGTCCAGATGTAAATTTAGACAAGCCTTCCAGTAAGCTAACATATGCAGAATGTTCATAATTTGTGCTTAAATGAATCAATTTATCTGCAAATTCGTTAGAAACACCCTTTTCCTCGAGGTAGTTCATCAACAGGTCGTACAGATACTGTAAAGTACAAATTAAAACTTAATTTAAGAAGTTCCTGCAGTATTTCTTGCATGAGATTTTATAGAATATTAGAATATACGGACATGAACATTAATAAACAGCTCATAAGAGATAAGCGATAAAAAGGGAGCCTAACATTGCGAATAAATATAAAAATATGAAAAAGTCTATACAAGACTGTTAAGACAAGTGTTTTACCAGGACATTAAGAAATTAAAATATAACTTTGTCGCATTCTTATTTCAATAAATTATGATAGTCACAATCTAGTTTGATAAGAATGTCTATAATATCCCAAAGATCAACAATCAAAGCTGCCATTATATATCGGCATCTTGTACTCAACACTTTGGGAAGTCAATTAATAACAGATTAATACTTACACCATCGACAATCTCACCCGCTACACAGTATACATTCTCAGTGTGTTGGCCCTTGTACAGTGTGATTTCATCGATACCAAAAATGTCATCTATAAATAAATGCAAAGTTATAACAAGAAACTCAATAACAGTTAAATCAGTATATTGTTTATACTCAGTCTTGACACAAAACATGAATCATCATAATTTTAGCTGATATATAAATATTACATACCATAATTATCATCAGCACCTGATGCACCAGGATGATTGTTAAAAGAACACGTAAAGCTCAGAGTCTGATCACCTCTAATTATATTTACAATAAAATTAGGTTTGCTCTTCATTTCACCGAGCTCTATTCCATCCTGACGAGGATCTACTTCTGCTTCAGTATCAGCATCTACTGTATCTACTGTATGATTTACATTAAAGGAAATATGAACCCTGAAAGAGACATCAAACACATGTTACAAGTCAATATATTAAACTCAAAATATATTAAACTCAAAGCATATACCAAATATAGTGAATGTCAAAATCCATCTTACGTATCAGAACCATGCTTTTTCTCAAGGGTAACTTGTGCACCGTTAAGAGACACTGCGAAATCATCTAATTTTGTGGGTATCGTCTTTAATTTCTGTGCTTTCTTCTCTGCTACAATTTCCTCCGCTAGGAATTCTACCAATTCTTTCTCCGCTAATAAAAAAATAATACAAATGACCAATAAGGAAATTGATTAAAAATTAAACCAACACGACATAATGATTTAGGGTGATAGATTTCATCACTTTGGCAGCGTGCATGAACAAATAAACAAGTAACATCTATCTCGCAAATATTCATATGAAAGGCACTGGCAAATCACTACCTTTTGTATGCGATTTGCTGTAACATCTCCGGGAGTAGAAATTGTCGTGCTGTTTTATGAGAGAGGTGAGAGGTGCAGTTTTAACGATTTGCCGGCTCGCGCACATGTCCCATAACGTTCGGGCGGATTGACTGCGAGTCGTTACGATGCCGTTGGATGACGACAGCCCACGAAGAGTCGAAGCGCGTAGCGCATTTCTCACAATACCATTCATATTGCCGAAGAAAATCGGATGACGAAATTCAGTGAAGCGAACCGGTGGAATGAGAAAAGACGTTCAACAAGAACGAGATAATTAACAATGGTGGATTGCTCCAAAACGCCCTCTTATCCTTTTCCGGTATACAATTGTACTACGTTTACCGGATGTCCCATCTAGAGACCGAAAGTTCCCGCCTGCAATTGGTTTGTACTTGCCAATCGGATTTGTTCTTCAATGATCGACAAAGGCTGCGTTCCGAAATTCACTGCCAGTACTGAAAATCTATAGTATACGTGACACAAACTATGTATTTTCAGTACTGGCAGTCGATTTCGGAACTTAGCCAGAATGTTTTTTAATAGCGAATTCGGTCGCTCGCACTGGTGCACACTGAGTGCGATTAAGGTTTGTTCATAGTCCATTCTTATATTTAAAATTGTTTCAAATTTTCACATCTTCATAAACTTCTTAGTCAACAAACATCCGTACGGATGTTATATAAAGCATTCTACTAGCCAAGAAATATTCGAAGATGTATTTAAGACGTTCTTAAATGAAAAAGGTGGACTATGAACAAGCCTTATTCGCATTCAATGTACACCAGTGCAAGCAGCCGAATTCACTATAAGTATCTATGGCTGCATTCAGCAGACTCAACAGTTGGACAACATTACTAGATTTTCCACCGAATCTTGCTCCTGATTGGTAAATACTTCTGGGTCTATGAAGAATCTAGAAGAATGCTCCAATCACAGACAATAATCACTAAGCGCTCACTGATCACTTTGTTCTACTGAACGCGGCCTATACCTTTTCGTACACTTACGTGTACGCAAGTAGTTCAAGAATAGAGCTCCAGTGGTGCGATTCTGTAACTCGTTATTGGAGTTAACGACAGTTTCGTTATTGTTGCGCAGCTTTTCTACGGTATACAAAAGCTGCGCAACGATAACGAAAGTGTCGTTATTGGAGTAACGACACTTTTGTTATTGTCGCGCAGCTTTTCTACGGTATACAAAAGCTGCGCAACGATAACGAAAGTGTCGTTAACTCTAATAACGAGTTACAGAATCGCGGTACAGGGGCTCGATTACTGACGGCGTGCGAATGAAATGCGTATGCGAAAATGTACGGTTCACGTTACATATAATATAGATTTTCGCATGCGCATCTCATTCGCACGTGTCGTCAGGAATCGAGCCCCTGACGGCGTGCGAATGAGATGCGTATGCGAAAATGTACAGTTCACGTCACATATAATATACATTTTCGCATGCGCGTCTCATTCGCACGCCTTCTCTCTGTCTGATATCTGGATTAAAAAAGGATCATTTGAGGAACACGGGCCCTTCATGTTGATCATTAGGCGGGAAGACGGGGGAAGACTTTGTGTGACATCGACGAAGAAAGACGCGAGGAAGAGTTTCTACTTGTATCGATAACAATTCGCAATCATGTATAAGCTGACGGAAGGAGCATTGGATGTAAGTTCATTGAAAACATATCGACGCATGTTTTGTATCATATTATATAACATGTCAATTTTTGTTTTAGAAAATTATGAATGGCATAGATATAGAGAAACCGGTGATTCAGATATTGGTGAGTATTGCGACATTGACAATTCGACTGACTTTGTTTCTCGAGATTGAGTTTGCGAGATTTATCAGTTCCGAAAACTGGAGGCTATACTGTGTTTTAAAGAAGTAAATTTTAATTGTTACATTGCAGGGTCATAAAAAGCTGACCAATTCTAATTCTGACCGGTACAGATTGCTTGTATCCGATGGGCTAAGAACAAACTCCTTTACTATGTTGGCCACGCAATTAAATCATTTGATCTCAGACAATACCTTGTCTGAATATACAGTCTGCGAAATATCAAAATATGCTCTGAGTTCAGTAAACAACAGTGGCAAGGAAAAGTATTTGTCCTTTTATGTCATATATTGGATCATGCAAGAGTAGTTTCAGTCCAAAAATTAAGTTCTACTTTGTTTATCAGACGTGTAATAATAATCCTGGATGTCGAAGTGATAGCTTCTGGTGAAATGGTTGGACGTAAGATAGGAAACCCAGTTAATACGAGCAGATCAGAGCCTGAAACCTCTAAACCGAATATATCTGCAGCTGCACATCAACAGAGTAATAAATATTTATGTCAATTGCATTTAGAATTAGTTTTACGCACATATACACGCGCACACATATATCATACTTTTACCCATATATGATACATAATACATAATAACTTCATCCAATATTTATACGATGCTTGATGATATTTTGAACTTCAAATTTATTTCTGTTTATAACAGATGGCAGCGCTACTAAAAAAAATAATTCAAGTAATCAGTCCTCTTCTGACATATCTACCACTCCAATTGCAGCATTAAGTCCTTATCAAAACAAGTGAGAATACTATGTGTAAAATATTCATAGATAGATACAAGTAGAATAATTACATTAAAATATTGACCATGGCAATTTACTGCTGATTTTCTCAAATATATATTTAAGAATAACAAATCTTTTATGTATAATGACTTGATTTTACTTAGGTGGGTGATCAAGGTACGTGTGTTGACTAAATCTCAGATCAGAACATGGAGTAACTCTCGTGGCGATGGTAAACTGTTCAATATGGAACTGGTCGACGAGAGCGGTGAAATTAGGTGCACCGCTTTCAATAATGCTTGCGACAAGTTCTATGACATGATAGAGGTACGCTCACTGCTGCTATTACGCCCGACTAAAATCAGTGAGCATTATATCGGTACTTTTCTTTGTTGAAAGTTGAAAATGACTGAATGTTTTGTTCGTGTAGGCCGGGAACGTTTACTATATCTCACGTTGCCAGCTGAAGCCGGCAAACAAGCAGTTTAATACGATGAAAAATGACTTTGAGATGAGTATGACCAACGACACAGAGGTTGTGCCATGTCACGATAACAGCGAGGATATACCGACGCTGCAGTTCAATTTTTCCCCTATAAGTCAGTTGGAAAACATGAAGAAGGACGATATGATCGGTAATGTTATATCTATTGGAAAAACTATTATCCTGTATATTCATAGAAAGAAAGTCGTTGACTGCATTCGGTAGAAAAAGCAGCTTGCTGCGTTCGGTAGAAAAAGCGCTTTGTGCTGCGCTGCCAGTACCATTGAAATTGTAAGATTTTCTGCTAACTCTTAAAGGCTTTTCCAATATGTTTATTAAATATTGATTATTTATTGCAACATACTTTTAATATGCTGTTTTGCTCAGAAAACATGTTGAAAAAGCATAGGTTCAACATATTGTTCAAAGAAATATTCATAATATAGAATACCTTGTTCTATTTTTGCTAAACGCAACCAATATTTAATTTTTTAGTTTTTTGTGCGTTAGAACTTTTAAATTTGTAATAATAAACATCGATCGGATTGACAAGTTAAAATAATACTTCACATATTCATAACAGATGTCCTGGGTGTTGTTACAACGTTCGGCGAGTTGCAAAATATTGTATCGCAAAAGACCGGTAAAGAGCATGTAAAAAGGGACATTAATATCGTCGACGACAGTAGTGTGACGGTAAATAATTTGTCGATATTATACGACAATCCTTACAATTTACAGTAAATCCTAGATTTTACTGTAAATAACTGTTCATCCCTTCGATTCTTCATCAGGTGTGCGTCACACTATGGGGGAAACAAGCGGAGGATTTTGATGCGTCAAATAATCCGATCGTGGCTATTAAGTCAGCTCGCGTCGGCGAATTCAATGGCGGCAAGAATTTGTCCATCGGTGGAATGGCTATAATTGAAAAGGATCCAGATCTCCCGGAAGCGCATAGGTATAATAGAACACGTAAAAGTTTTAATATCATCCTTCATTCGTGCGCGTACAAATTGTCTCCTGTGAAATGCTTGCGCTTGCGATTCGTATGAGTAATAATTGCAGAGGGGAGGGAAGAAAGTACCGTTGCAATACCGTATATTACTGTTTCTTTTAAAAGGTAACTTTACCGACTCTGCCAGTAATACAATAACGCGGGTTCGCACGACATTTCTCTATGTTATACGCGCGAGGTACATTTCAGGTTACGCGGATGGTATAGCGCAGGCGGCCACTTGGAAAACGTCAAGTCGCTGTCTAAAGCGGGCGGTGCCGGTGGCGGTGACATGAACGCGCCGTTGTACACCTTCCAAGAGGCGACCGACGCAAAACTGGGCGAGAAAATGGACGCGGCGGATGTATTCTCGGTGACAGCTACCATAAACATAATTCGTGTGGAGAATTCAATCTACAAGGCGTGTCCGCTAGAAAGTTGCAAGAAGAAAGTGAGTTGCGTGCGATACAGATAAGTTCTCCTATAAGAGCAGGTACGTTTCAGATTTCGAAGGGCACGCCCTGACTTTCGTTCGTTGCAATTTCAGCTCGTCGATCAATCCACAGGAGTATTCAGATGCGAGAAGTGTAACAAGGATTACCCAAACTTTTTGTATCGCCTGCTGGCGAGTGTGCGTGTCAACTCTCCTTATATATTGATTTTTATTGTTCGTTATCTAAGATTACCGGAATTTGCTTCGTTTTTTGTATCATAACGGTTTCTTCAGATGAACATTGCGGATGCTACGGGCAGTCGTTGGATTACCGCTTTCAATGAAGAAGCTGAGAAGATCTTGGGTATGTCAGCGCAGGAATTAGGCGAATTGAAGGAGAATGATAACGATGCTTACATGCAAAAGTTTGGCGATGCGAGCTTCAAGAGGTTCACGTTCGGTGTGAGAGTGAAATCGGAAGTTTTCCAGGTAACCGAATCTAAAGTGCATCTTACCGAGAGTTCTTCACCCGTACGTTTTCTTCGTCGAATCTTTTTTGTTTCGCAACGCGCAAATATTCTGAGTTCAGCGTGTGTCGCACTTAAAATTTCCTAGTTTCAAATATTTCATGTCGTTTCAGGATGAAATGAGAATGAGGCACACCTGTACTTCAGTCTCTCCGCTGAATTACAGAATCTACTTGGCACATCTGCTGGACAAAGCCTCCAAGTTGGCGCACATCGAAAAATTGGAAAGCTAAAAAATTTGATTTATCGTACAAAAAGAGGGAATAATGAGTTCTTTATTTTAAATTATGCGATCGGTATACACTGTTTGAGACACTTTATACGCGATTATTTCTATTTGTTCCGGAGGTGTGGTTCCAATTCTTTATTTTCCTCCCTCTCGTTAATTAAATTAAACAGATAATTTCATTCAAGATGTTATTTTCAACCTAAAAGAATGATGTATTAGCTTGAGATTTAAGTTACATCGCATTTATATAAGCTGTCGATGCCATTATTTAAAAGCGTTTATAATCGTTATGTAGTAGAACATTTGGTATGAACGTCTCGAACATATTATGTTAAGGAAAGATATAATTTCCAACGTATTTGAATATGTCTGTGTGCATTGTATCTCTCTTACACTTTCAGCACGATTATCACAAAATAAAAACCAATAATAAGCGAGAAATAAACTCAATTTACGCTCCACTCTCAGTATGACATTCCCAATGCGTCAGAATGCGTCGGAATGTGGAATCCGCGACGAATAGGGAAGAAACGAAGGACGTACAATACTTGATGGTTTATTATTTGCCAAGAAGTAAAATACACAGGCATTTGTTATAATGGTACTGTCGAAGAGAAACTTCTTTTACGACGGTATCATAAGTACATCTAGCGACATTATATCATCGGTACTAAAAAGAGAGAAGCTGGTCTCGTCCCATTTTTTTTCCCTTGCTTATCGATAAACTTTACAATTTACAAATGCTCTCCCATGCGCCGTTCTCGTCTCCTCGTCAAAATTGTACCCACGCCGCTCGATTTGGGATTGCCTCGAGTGCTTCGAAGATTGCGGTCCACGACACCTTGCACGTCTGCACGGTGGTCCCAAGTATATATTTGTGTTCTCGCACTCGACTTCGCAGTAAGTTATACGAGGAGGTGGCTCGCCGCACACCTCCGCACGTTTTTCCCGAGGTAGAGAGAATCGATCAATGAAACGAGTCCCGACCGACAAATCGGCCGACGATTAGGATCAATCGCTGCTTTATTAAGTTCTACGTAGGATCAAGGATCAAAAGTGGACGTTGGCGGAGAAAGGCACGCGAGCCTCGGAGTCGTCGATGTCTCGAATGTTAAGAAACAAATTACACTTGATCACGAAGGGAATATTAGTCAACACGTTTCTTCTCTCGACAATTTCTTTAAACGGCATCGACAGTAAATGCGCACAATTGAGAATCCGCATGTTCGATTCGATTATAGATTTCATCCCGTTCCGTCTCGACGCATGAAAATTATCTTCTAGTCGCAGATCGCGAGGCCACGTATCACATTGTCGGCAGTTCCGCTAACGTAATCGTTAACTTTACGACTAACTATGCAATTAACTACATTGAGAGATGCTAAATTGTTTCACGAGATCCGTCTGCGGATCCGTCAAATGTGCCGCCAGCTTCACGGAAGAAAAAACATCTCTCCCTTTCTTAAATTATTTTGGTAACTATAAGAAACCGCGACTCCTCGCGCGCGCAGCATTCTCGCTCGCTCGCTGAGCATCACTTTGTTCTCATCGTCCTTTGCCGACTGCCGAGGCAACTCCGCAAGGACATGCCGACATGCGAACGTTTATGAAGAGTACGGCTTCCTCCCGCTCAACCCGGGCTTTCCCTTTTTTCCCTCGTCCACTTTTCATCCCTCACATTATCTTCGTCAATATCATTATTCTCTCGCGTTCACACAATCCCTCTATCTCTCCCACTCTCTCTCTCTCTCTCTCTCTCTCTCTCTCTCTCTCTCACGCTCACGCACACACTTATACACATTCTTTCTTACCTCATCCTCCTCTTTTTCTCCTTCTCCGTTAATCTTTAATCATCTCTACCGGTCTATCTATCTAATTGCGTGTCTATACATTATCCTTATGTGTTTGAATAAGTTTTTTTTGCAACGTGTGCTTACCACATAGACCTGCAGATTCGATATGACTTAACAAGTTTGGATAAGGGGACAAAACGGTAGGGCGGTAGGGGGAAGGATAATACTCCGTAAAATAAGTACGTAGTCTCGCAATAGGCGGTGATAAACAGTAACGACGAAGTAACAAGTACAATATTGCTCGATCCCGTATTATATTTATATATATGTAGATGTGTGTATATATATAAATATATATACATAAATATATTTATTTTTATGTATTTATATATATTTATATATATACATATATATTTACTCGTTTATTTATATGTATATATATATATATAATATGTATATTATATAATAAAGATACTTCACTCTCTCTCTCTCTCTCTCTCGCGCGATCAGAGTAGCTTTTTTGCGACTCTCGACTCTCTACCAGGAGCTATGTTAAGAAAGAGCTCACCACGTTCGCTCCCTATATATATATGTATATATATATATATGTATGTATATATGCATATATATATGTATATATATATATATATATGCAAATAAATAATATATGTATACCGGCCGTTGTGTTTCCGCCGCATTACTTTCCAACAAAAGGTCCATTCGGCCAATTCGAGATCGATCCTTGTTCAACGTGTCAAAAATGTGTCGTGAGAACGTTCTTCCATATTATACAGAAAATAAATCTTGAAATTAATCGAGAATAAATGGCACGATCACGATATCGTATATTTTCGAGCTTGATTATTTGCGATAATTTAGCGACTCGTCATTCTCACCGTAAGGAAAGTCGACTTTAGCATAGAGAGCCGGTCTGTCGCTGAAAACCAATGCTGCGGAAGCAGGACAACATTCCGCGTGCGTACACATATCTATTTATAATTATTTAAAATTTTTTCTCGACGTGTAAGTGATCACTATAGGCCTAATGATCTCGCGTCGTAGCACATGATTTTCCGCAATCTCTCCCTCTCACGCACACTTGGGTTTTATTTTTTCCCCTTTCTCTCTCGTTCAAACTCTCGTTCAGACTCTCTGACTCCTCTTCTAGAGCACGTTCGTCCGGCGAAGCGTCGTTCAAAGGGCATTTTTCTTCCTCTCCGAGAGAAAGCGAAGGACAAGCGAAATCGAAAAGGCTACGTGTTTTATTTGTGCTCCTCCATTCCTCACCGGGCGCGCCGCCCGAGACCGACACCCATTGGTTGTTTCTGCTCGCTTCTCTATTATTATCTACTCGTTTTTCAAAAATTTTATAAAAAAAAAAAAAAGAACAGATCGCATCGTCTAACAATCGTGTCAACACCCGCATTACCGCTCGTGACAACAAATCACGCGACACGTCCTGAATCTCTAGAGTACAGTGCGCTAAAAAGGATAAGGTCGCGTCCGTACGACGACGACGACGACTGTACACGCGAGGATCCTGATAAAAACGATAAAAGAGCGGTCATGCAATAAGACATCTCTTCTGTCTTCATTGGCTTCACTTTACAGTGGCGGTAATCGTCCGGGGCGGGAGGGAGGAGGAGAAGAAAAGACTCCCGTCTGGATATTATTATCTCGTAATTGTGTCGAGCGAGATAACAAGAATATATCCATCATACACTACGAGAAACATTTTCTCGTCGTACTCCTGTTTTCTACGTTAAGACCACCATGGACACCGTCGTCATGATCGTCACGACTCGGGATCCGCCAAGGATCGCATCGAGAGTACCCACAAGTATCGACGATTCTCGAACTCGCGACGACTGGTCGTCTCCTCCCCTTCTCCTCCTCCTCCTCCCGCTTCTCTTTCTTCTCAGGATCTCTCTCTCTCTCTCTCTCTCTCTCTCTCTCTCTCTCTCTCTCTCTCTCTCTCCCTCCCTCCCTCTTTCCTTTTTCTTCGTACAATTTAACAAGGTATGCACGTCGTCCTCTCGTGTGTAAATACAGTAATGTACAATCTTTCTTTGGAGTTAAACCTTACTGTGATCTCGGCGCGAATGGCGCAAAAAGGGGCATCTGGGTAAAGGGGGAGGAGGGGGGTAAAGGCAAGGGAATAACGGACAGGGGAATAACACCTACGCTCTACGTTGTTTGTTTGTGTGAGTCGAGTTTTAAAACGACGAAAAGAAGACCTCGCTCTATCTACAGCTTCAGCGACTCTTAATCATGGCTGAACGCGTTCACTTCGTTGCTTCGGTTATCTCGATATATATATTTCTTTTCTTCCTTCTTCTTCTCCTCCTCCTTCTTCATCTTCTTCTTCTTCTTCTTCTTCTTCTTCTTCTTCTTCTTCTCCTTGCTCCTCCTCCTTCTCCTCTTCCTCTTTATTAGTGTCACGCTTCTTCACCTCCTCCTTGTCCTGCTCCTTCATTCTTCGCACGCGCGATTCTACGCTTTTCCTCCTCCAAGGGTGTGTCGCCGATCTCCCTCCCTCTTTTTCTTTTTCTTTCTTTCTCTTTGCGTGCTTCTCGCACGCGGCAGATCCAGGTGGACGGATACGCCCGGGGTAGTAGATATTCGTGAAATACTCCATGATCGAGTACGGGGACGTGTGTAATATTCTTTTGCGGGGGAGGAATAGTGAGAGGCTCTCTCCGCGCTAGGAGAAGAGCGAGAGAGCTCACGTTCAGGGATTGTTCAGGGAGGAGGGGGGGATCAGTGTCGCTTTTTGTTCGTAGATAATGTCGCCCGTCGCTGTGTGGCTGAATATGGTTCTCGGGGCTGTTTTCGATTGATGTGTACGTGTGTTTTTTTCGTGTATTAGTGTGTTATATGATAATATTTCAATGAGAAAAAGCAGAATAAAGGAAGCTTGCCCGAGAGAAAACCGAAATTATCGTTTCGCCAAAGGGTTAGACAATGTTTGCGATAATGTTTGTACTATGAACTTGTTCCTCTTGTATTTGACCAAGTAATATACCATATCGATCTCCATAGTCGATTAAACCGAGAATTAAATCATTTAATCGATGCACCGTTCGTGCATTCATAATCTTCAGCGACTATATGTATAACAAGAGATATATATATATATATATATATATGTATGTATGTGTATGTATGTATGATATATATTTGCTTTTTCTCCTTGCTTTCATTTGAATTTCACAAATTTGAACAACTCTTCTCCAACCGTGTGTGTCGAGAAAACGAAGCTGCTAGTTTTCAACAAGCCAACGACTGGACTTTGACTCGTAACATCATGCGATACTTCGACACTCTCATTCGGCTAGAAATTCCATCGGCACTTCGTTGTGATTCATGTGGACGAAGCTCCTGGTTTTCGATCGAGGATCTGATCCGGCTTTAATCACCGATTAGCCGAGGTCGCCGATGCCGAGATATTCGTTCGACCAGGAAGCTTCATCGACGAAGGTTACTCGCCGTCGTAAAAATAAAGAATCTGTTTCGGAGATTAGATTTAATTTCCGGTCATGACGGCGTGGCTCGACGACGTTGACGCGTTTGGATTAGAGGGAGAAAGGAAAACGGATCCGGTTTGAATTCGATGATGAATTCCGGAGATACGGATTTCAACGTCCCAAGAGGTCGCGCATTTATAATCGCTCAAATTAATTCCGCCAGTTGGACGAATGAACGAACAACGAGCAAGCGACCGCAAATCACCGACAATCAAATTTAATCTCCGGCTCCGTAGAATGGTACTGACGATGCCTCTTCACAGGGTGAACCCTAAACTTGACGAAGGGCTCTGAGGGAGCGCGAACTTGAGATTGCGTTTGAATTGCGGATAACGTGAAGGAAACAAAAGTACAAAACTCTTCTCCAATTTGACAACACGTTCAAGCTGTTTATTATCCATTTCTTTCTTCTACGCGACTTTTTCGAGCTGCACCGTTCGCAAAGCGAATAATAATAATAATAATAATAATAATAATAATAATAATAATAATAATAATAATCACGAATAATAACTTAGAAGAGACAAAGCCTCGTACGACGTCAGAACGACGTTTATAGGATCTGGCGGATCGTGTCCGCCAGGCGCGTGCAAGCGCGATCTGCATAATCCTCGCTCAAAGGACACCTGGCCGTCGTAACGCTCAAACCAGAGAAAGGATTGCAACATAGCCGACCGACGAGGTCGGGCGTTTCACCACAGGGTGCACGCTGTCAAGTTTAGGGTTGAGTGTGCGTGTTCGGGGAACGTCGACGATACCGAGCCCAGGCCCGGCCGACGAGCTGCTCGATGTTGAACGTTCGAACGTGAATGAGAAGACGCACGAACGAGCTCGACGAAGGTAACACGAGCGAGGTGAATCGCGAAGAACAAACAATCGGTGAGTGTAGTGTACATTGTCGAGTGTAATTGTGCTGATTGTTGTTGATGTCGTTATTGTGGTCGTTGTTTTTGCTGCTGTGTCGTGTTGTTGTTGTTGTTGTTGTTGTTGTTTTTGCGATTTTTGTCGTAGCTGTTGGATTGATGGTAGTGGTGGTGATGGTGGAGGGTGATGGTAGTGACGCTCGTGACGGCCGACGGGGTGCGGGGGTGGTCGAGAGAGTGTGGCCTTACTTGAGTAGCTGATGGGCCCGCTCGTTGGCCACCTGTATCCTCGACTCGTTCGACTCGCCCTGCGTGTCAGAGAAAACAAAGAAACAAAAGAACGCAATGTCGTATGAAAGCGAGCTGCTGGCGGGCATTCGGATTCGGCGGGGAGAATCCGATCGACGCGACGGCGCGCGGTCGCGCGGCGGTACGGTCGTTGCGGTGGAAGAAGCGAGGATCGAGTCGGATCCTCCCGCGGGTCGGCAACGGGTTAATCAAAGGACAGAGGTAGCGAGAGCAGAGCGAGGGTGAAGGTGCCGGATGAATTAAACGAAACGGAAATCTCACGGCGCGGCGAGCAAAAGATTGCCCGAACTCACACACGGCATCACAATGCACGCCGGCTTTGTTTTCTCATGGGAAACAAAATGTCGCTTCTGACGAAGCGAGTCGAGTTCTGAACGGCCAGAAACTCTGCTTCCTTCGAAGATCCCGGAAGATCGACGGTGATCACCGATGATTATAATCAGTGCTCGGCTCGTTCGCTCTGCTGTCGCGCGAATCGTCAGTCAATCTTTTCCCTCCGTGCAACCATCTCCGCTCGCGGCGATGCAAATCGCGCGAAGACACTCCCGTGGTGGTGAGTTAACATACCGCGTGAAGGATGTGTGTCGAGACGGTGTTAACGTGATAATACATGAATACAAACGAAGCACGGAGTCGGAGTCGCGATCGTGGGGTCGGGAGAGTTTTACCTTCAAAGGATCTTTAAGGACAGCTCTCGTTCTCTCTCGTCACCGCCGCCAGTGAGAAAAAAGAAGGTGAGACCATCGAGACCAAGTGGTACTTCTTCAAGCAGAAGTAACTTACAACGACGACGACGACGACAACAATGTTACGAGCAACGACGCGTTACTTCCCAACCCTACGTGATCGACATGGGTACGCAAGATCCGCCGCCGTTTAGTGTACATACTAATAATGAAAATTAAGCAACGGAGATGCCCAATTCTCCTTCTCGTGGAACCGTCTCGCGCGCTCGATGTCGCCCGAATTACCCCGACCAGGTAAAACCAATGAGAACCCGAGCGCTTTGACATTGCCGTGCCGCAACGAGTCGCGTACAAAGCGAGGTGAAATGGAGCTTTCGCCGGAGTAATCGACGGAGCATCAAGATAAAATAAAGTGTGTGCGGCCGCGAATGCGGCTGAAAACGATCGATCCGCGCTGGGGAAAAATCGATACACGAGCCTTTTCTTGCCGACAGGTTGTCGTGCGAATGTCCGCAGAAAGATGAAATTCACGCGGCACTCTCGCGGTCCACTTGGTGTCAAGCGCGTTAACCCGACCGACCCCCCCGGGTGCATCGGAGCGAAACGATTCCACGGGCTCAAAGGACGGGGTCGTCAACGAGGGACGCTTCGTCGTCATTGTCGCCGTCAGAGACGGCTGAGTATAAGTAGACTAGACGACGACCGGCACGCGCTCGTGACGCGATCACAACACGAGAACAACACGTGGATGCGGGTACTACTTCCAGGATTGGGAAAGAAGTACTGGTCCTCGAGCAGCAATTCGTCATCGGAACGTCATCGGAACTCGAGGAACAAGGAATCTTTGCCATTCACCGTTGCTTCTTCCATCGAGTCTCGAAAAGAGAGACTCCTTCTTTTCTTCGGAGAAATTGCAAAGTTGAATTCGCAAAAGACGTGTCACTGCGCGTTAATATTGTCGTTGCAAGCGAGAAAGAGGAGAAAAAAGAAACTGTCAGCAACAACGCCGTTGCAACGTTGTTGCTGAGGGAAAGCAACGCGTCAATTCCCAACCCTGGCGACGTATTTCGTAACAAACGGTGGTGGACGCGGAGTGATGATACATCTCTCAGTGCGATGCACCCTACACCGCTCTCGTGGTGTGTGTCTCAGCACACCGTGCTTCTTCCTCCAAGACGACGTCTCCATCGAGACTGCGAGAACTCCAAATTCAATCGAACTAACAACTCGGATTTTTTGCGGCATACTGAACGCTCTACTGCGCTGCTCGTCGTCAGCGTCTCTGTTTACATGTTTAGGTGTCACCGGAATGAACAAAAAGCGAGACGATCGTCGGTAATCAAATGACGAATGGCTGGCTGATCCCGTTGTTAACCCTTTCACTGTTAGTGGGAAGTATACTTCCCCCACCTTTTCTTGATTCAATTTTGCGTGGTAAATCACATAATTTGGAAGAACTAATCAGGGATTTGAGTTTTCCAGATAACTCAATAGTTTTGTTCGACATACTCCAATAGGAAATTTTACAAGTATACCCAATTATTCATTTGTGATTATTTATCAATTATCAAAATCAAAGTTGAAAAAAATGCTTCCTTTAGAGAAAAATCGATTCCTCGGAGAGTATTGAATGTAGAGGTCTGAAATATTCACCAAATATTTTTCTGATGCTGTACAAAAACATGTATTTTTCGCAGTATTTTTTTTACAGGTTAGATTTTTTCTTATAAACAAATATTTCTACAAAAACGGCCGAAATTTGATTTTTTGCACTTTTTAGCTCTACTTTCCTAGTTTTTTTCATTCTGTATTCTCCATCTTATTCATACTCATCAATATTATTTTGCTCAAAAATGAATGTTTAATCTTTAGTAAGCATAGATATGCAGTATTGAGCATTTTCCCACATAAATTCCGGCATTTTGAATTTTGCAAATCCGACTTTAGATTCGTAATCAGCGATTCGAACAACGTAAGACTACCAAATAAATATTTTAATAATTTTCTCAAGGGAAGTTAATTCAGTAGTGAAAGGGTTAAACGAGCCAACCAACCCCCCCATTCATCCCGGCCGAGGCGAGGATTCGAGTTCGCTTACGTTGATAGTTTCGATCGAATTTCTCTCTCGAATTATCTTGCTCCTGCGACGGAGAAACTTTCGACTTTGTCGAAGCATGCGTTTCTGTGTGCTACGCAATTTGGCATTTTGGAATCGTTCCGTCGTCGCTTATTGTTCCCTCCCGAGAAGCACGGTATGCCTTGACGTGAGCGGTTATTCGTTGTATATCGTCGTATATTGGAAAGTTTGGTGGTGATGGTGGTGGTGGTGGTGGTGGTGGTGGTGGTGGTGGTGGTGGTGGTGGTGGTGGTGGTGGCGGCGGCGGTGGTGGTGGTGGTGGCGGCGGTGGTAGTGACACGGTGGCGGTGGTAGTGGCGGTACGAGTGGTTATCGTTGCGCAGGTAATGTTGGATCAGGTGTTGGAGACAACACGCACGTGGATCTTTTTTGGTGCCGCAGCGACGACGAGAAGACGGAAGAAGAGTCAGAGAGGAGGATGGGCGGATGGCGGGTGGGCGGGCGGGACGGTGCGGGATAGGGGATGGGGGAGAAAAGAAAGGGTGGATGGATCATCATTCGCCGAGCTGGGAACGTCCGAACGAATTGATACTCGAGCGATTTAGCGCGCACGATTACACGTGACCGCCGCGATTGCACGTTCTCGCATTTCACGATTACAACGGGACCCACGCTATTAGTATAACAACACATATTCCATTCGACACATCTCTCTCTCTCTCTCTCTCTCTCTCTCGGTCATCGCGCTCGACTCGCGCGATAATTGAATCCACGAACTGATTCCGCTCTGATCAAGCGCAATTTCGCCGCTCGGCGATACCGCGAGCGCGCGGAAATCCGCCGAACAGTCCCAGCCCCCGATCGTGTGTGTGTGATGTCAGGCCTCTATATATGTATAATACACACATGTATGTACGTATAATCTCTCTCTTTCTGGATTTTTTTCTTTTTTTTTTTCGAGACGCATCTCTGTGATATGCAACTTGGGGCTCGGAGGAGGCGGATACGTGGACAGAGAGAAGAAGACGCATTTTACTTGAGCAGGGCGTGCGCACGTTGGTTCGCCGCGGCTATCCTCGATTCGTTCGACTCGCCCTGCGGATTATCACAGTTCGGGTTTCGATCACAGAAGAGTGTGTGCGTGTAGGGGAAGGGGGGAAGTGTAGAGGTGTGTAACATAGCGTGTGTCTGGTGCGGCTCAAGTTCCAGCCAAGCGAGTGCACAATCTCGTGGCTGGAGTCTCGCGATCTCGCCGCTCGGGAGGGGTGGCTGACTTAACCCACTCGACATTACGTGATAATTCGGGTTATTGTGCAGCTACGGCGGATTTTACCCTATCCCGCTTACGCGCTTACGGAGCAGCAGCTCGTTCGTTCGTTCGTTCGTTCGTTCGTTGACATTACACGCGACGTGATCAATAACGGATACGTTATGTAACACGAGACGAATAGGAGGTATTCGCAACAGGACTCGATTTTCGACTTGATTCTCGGTAGCTTTGCAAGAATGCTGTCTATCACGCTCGACAACACCGCGCGTATGAGTGAAGATAAAAAAATACTGGCTATTCGACTCTACTTTTCCGGTGAAATTTCGGCGAAAAAAATTCAGAGAATACGGCAAGGACCAATTCAAAATTTAGCATTCAATCGAGATCTCCTCCCGCCCCTGTTCCACCACCTCCTGCAGATCAGATTATAACTTCTGGACGTCGACAGCCCGAGATTGTGCGCGCTTCACCCGCTCTGTGTGACATGTCGTCAAAGACCATAATTATTCCACTTCTCACTGGAAACTTTCTTATCGTGTCAAGTTACACCACGAAAACGATCACGCGACAGCGCGGAGAACTCAATTACATGTCGAAGCTGACTTATTCGCGCGAAAAGTGGAGGCCACATCTCAGCATACTTGGTGCTCTATAACTTTTCTGTTTTGAAAAATCACATATTTCGTCTTCCGAATATCTCCCGAAATATGGTCTTTGACGGATTGACGACGGGTTCCTCAAACGATCAATATTTATCGTCGATGCGTCAATATTGATAATGTTATTGTAGGGCAGATTAGTCAGCGAGAAAGATCCCGAAAAACGGCCAAAAATGGCGTCGAACGTGCGAAAAAGTGTTTCGTAAATCAGAACAGAGGAAAAAAGATAAATAAAAGACGAAGGGAAATGGGTCGACGGAAATCACTGATAAATTTAGTCTGAATAAATATTAAGGGTGGAAGGGCAAATATTGACGCATCGAATATCGATTATTGACTGTGCGGCGCCTAATCCAGGTTAATGCAAATGCCGCGAGTATTGCGCATACACCATGTAGAAGCACACGCGGCGGCTAGTGTGAGAAAAGTGAGATTGATAAGCGACAATAGTGGCAATACGGTATATTATATTGTAATAAGTAGTGACGGATAATTATATATTGAAATATCATCTCGTTCACGTGTGAATGCGCGTATTGGTCGTTTGGAAGAGCGCTTTGCACTGTCGGAGGATTCCGTCTTTTCCGCATTTTGTCTTTGTCTAGGACCTACCGTGGCAGGAATATGGTAAAACTTTAGAGTGACGCTGCCAGGATTCTCGACCATCTTCCGAAAAAGGAACCCGAAGAGAATAGTGAAAATTCTCAAGTCTGACCTGAGTGTGACATGAGAACGGCAAATTGCCGTTTCTCATCTCGTGAAAACTTGCTATACGCGAGATCAGACCCAATAATTAAACGAATTAAATTGCCGATTGCAACGGCGTATCTATAAGAGTCTCAATCTTGACGTTAATTCTTCGGACGAGGGAGTCCTTCCCTCCCCCCGCATTCTAACCGCTGATGTTTGTTCCCTCCCTCTTCCGCGACGTTGAGAATCCGTGGAGACTACCATAATCCTCCCGCGAGAACTTCTCTCGCGGAACAAACAAGAAGAGAGACAGAAAGAGAAAGAAGAGAAAAAAGTAAGAGAGGCAAAAGTCCGAAGCGTGATTAGACGCGCAGTGGGTGGTGCAGTAATTGCATAAGAACACAGAAGGCAGGCTGTGCCGAGAGAGAGGAGCAGCTGAAGAATACTAGCACGGGAGTGCCCGCGGTCGACGATATCGACAAGGTGCCACATAGAGGACAGAGAGAAGGACGCGACGTGTGTACGTAGGGGAGGGAGGAGGGGGGGGCAGAGGGCGGCTAATTGTGCGATGCACGTGCGGTACGCATGCAATCTTCGAGATGGAATATACTTCCCCGGATCGGTGCATGTTGCGTTGCTGGGCTGCTGCTTTCCGTGCCTGCTGATCCCTGGAGAGGGTGAGGGTGAACGCGGTGGACGACGACGACGACGACGACGTGCGTCGATCGGGACATTCGTTCTCTCGAATCGGTAGGAATCGCATGTGGAGGGACGGGGGAGGGAAGGAGAACGAATCCGGAGAGGACTTTGGGAAGACGACAGGAAGGAGGGAGGGAGGGAGGGAAGAGATGGAAGGACACGTAAGAAAGCGAAAGCGACGACGAACGTGATGTGCATCGCTCTGAGCCATTGTGCATTGTGACATAGAGATACGCGCGCAATAGTGACGCGTGTCAGAACTCATCCCGTTAACACGATCGCTACCACCGTTTCGAGCGGAAAGACCGTCCGCCACGAGCGCACCCCGAGCAGTGTTTCTACCCTTTCTCCCTTTTCCGGTTCCCTCTCATGCGACACACAACCAAGCTCCCGGAACAGGCGCTTGTTGTGTGTTCCGTGTGTGTGGCGGCACGGGCGGACGTAAGGTAAGAGAGAAGGAAAATATCGCTGTCGCATACACGTTAATGACACACACACACACACACACGGATGTACGACGAGAATCGTACGCGTGTCCCGACGCGTGTCACGGGGTAGCGAACGTGTCGGAGTAAACGCGTCTCGCGACGCGGCGGATCGCCGCGGGTGATCGTCAGATCAGCCATGCCAAGTCTACACGGTGCCGGCGACACGGTGCAGCAGCAGCAGCACCGGGTGTCACAAACACCCGTAGGAGCAACCTCTCGGGGCTTCGCACTCTCACCTTGCGATTGATCCTGTCGATCTGCCGGTTCTGATTCTCGAGCTCGCTGCCCATGTCGATCGCCATGTTCCTCAGATTGCCGATCATCGTGTTCACCTGGCCCATGTTCTCCTCCATCTCTGTCTCGCGCGCGTCGTTCGTGATCTTGGCGATATAGCCGCTCTGCGGTCCGATCCCGTTGCGATCGTCCATCACCCGCTGCGGCTGGTTGTTCACGACCTTGCCGTCGTCGTTGCCCTTCCACGTGCCCTCGTCCTCCTTGAAGCTGGCGCTCCTGTCGAGAGCAAGATCGTCGGCGAGCGACGTGATTAAATAGGCGCTTTCCTGTGCGGGCCTCGGAGGCCGTGCCACGTCGACATGAGAAAATTGCTGGAATCTGTCGCTCGGGAAGCACAGGAGACTCGAGACTCGAAGTTTATGAGCTCCTCGGAATTTTCACGAAGCTCGGGAAAGAGAGAGAGAGAGAGAGAGAGAGAGAGAGAGGAGCATTTAGCGATTCTTCCGGCACACGCTTTCCCTCGCAATAAATATGCAAGGAAAACACGTGACCGATATGCAAATGTGCTTCCTCTCTTCATTTTAATCTTCGTCCCTTGTCTCCTCTGCTCCACACTAGTGGTAAAACTTTTTTCCTTTTTTCTTGGACGCTCTTAAAGAGATGAAGCGACAGTATAAAAACGCAGAAAGGGGAGAAACAGGAGCAGAGAGAGAAAGAGAGAGAGAGAGAGAGAGAGAGAGAGAGAGAGAGAGAGAGAGAGAAAGAGGGAGAGAAAGAGAGGAAAAAAGAGTGAGAGCGAGAGCGTAAAACAATTGTTTCGTACTTGTTACAGGGAAGAACGCAGAGACCGCAGCACTTCTCCATTCCCGTGAGATTCTTCTCGGCCTCTCTCATGTCGGCATTAATCTGGTCCATGCCCTCCTCGATTCGGTCCAGCTGTTCTGTTTTTGTCGTACGGGACAATACAACGGGTTAATGCCAGCGCCAAGAAACGACTCACGAGAGTCGCGGGGGGTCTCCAAGGGGAAAGGGCAACCACGCGAGAGAAAGGTCGTTACTTCTAATAAGGAGCCTAATAACGTAGCGAACGCTCTAAAAGCGAAATCTAAATATTAAATCTGATCTCTCTGGCAAGTGTCTCTACGACTTTGTCGGCCAGTGTTCTCTACATCGTATAGTCAAGCTTGTCTAAAATGAAGAAAACAAAAGACTTTGGCCCTTCGCGGCGTGCGATCTCGATCAAGCCTCGCGCATACCGATATATCGATATCCCGCTATTTCTTCTCTCGATTCTTCGTATACTTTGTACATTCGATGCATTTTCCTTCTCGCAATCCTACATTCGTTCTCTCGTGACTCGTTTGCACACGATTCAAGTGGTAATCTTCAGGATTTAACACGCAGTCTCGTCGTCTCGGCGGAGACGACGATGACGAGGCGAACGCCGCTAAGAGTTAAAGTTTGGTTTTGCGGCTGCAAGCGGCTCAGAATTTGCCGGGGTATTCTCACTGCGAACGTAACGTAACGTAATGTAATCAAGCGGCCGCGGACTAAAAAGGCGAACAAAAGTGCGAGTGCATTGCCCAATCCTCTTTCGCTATCGCTAATTTTATTTCCTCGGGAAATAAATAAACGCGGGGGCAAACTCGTGCCCGCGCTGCTACAAGGGAAGGGACGCCTCTCTCGATTTTCCGCGCGTTCGTTTCCGTTCCGTTCCCGTTCCCGTTCCCGTTCCCGAATCTCCTTCTCTTCGAGAATTCCGCGATTGAGACATCGACGACGATCGGACCGATCTCACGAGTGTTTCCCGCCGTTGTGAAATACAATTTCCGAGCTCGACGAGTCGTACACAATTTTACACCGCACAGATGTGGTGGGCCCATCGACAAGGCGTCCCTTACCCTTTATGTCTCGAACGGTTGCCGCGTTCGATCTTTTTCATATTCTAAGACGAGAGAGGTCTATCGAGCGGATCGGCCATCTGATTTCTGTCTTTGATCAATGACAGATGACGGATGAGCGATTTGTTCGGACATTCAAACGCCGGGCATTCACATGTACAAGATGTGGAGTAAAAAGAGGTGGAGCAAAAGTGGTGCATCATACGCTCCGGACGTCATTAACAAAAAGAGAGAAGAGAGAGAGAGAGAGAGAGAGAGAGAGAGAGAGAGAGCACAATGAGAGACACAGGGTGAAGATCCCGCGAGAGTAGGTAGAAAAACACGCGATCCGCTCGATGGAACTCGCAAACTCCGCGCAGAGTAAAGTGCAACGAAAGCACGGCAGTTTAAGCGAAGAGTTTCCTTGCTCGACGTTCCTGCGTCGGGGGTGAGTTGCTCTGTTATGTGCCTACCGGATATGTGCAGTGGGTATCCTCATAGTGGGTGATGGAGTTCAGCCAAGTGTACAGGGTGTCCCGAAACTTTGAGCGAGAGAGCATATCACTCTCTCTCTCTCTCTCTCTCTCTCCTCTCTCTCTCTCTCTCTCTCTATTTCTCACACTCACGCTCGCGTAGCTTCTCGAGCGAAATTCGAGACGACGTTTCTCCTCATCCTCGCAGCGACAACTTTGATCGCAATTTTTCCTCGACAATTGAACGACCAGACAACGACTGGCGCGTCGTCGAGACGACGACGACGCGAGAAAGAGAAAGAGAGAAATGGAGAGAAAGAAGAGAAAAAGAGACCCAGGACACCTTGTATCCACGTGCCACGCAGTGTAGTAGGTTTTAGCCAGTAAATGCAGTAAACGCGAGTTTGTGCCTATAATACGCGCGTAGGGATACATATTCGGCCAGTAGCACGTGTTGTGAGCGATACCCTCGTAACGCGAGTATATATCGGGTGTCCGGTATCTGCTGGCAGGTGTAAGCGTGACGAGTAAGAGAGTAAATATACGTTCGGCGGCACTGTCCGAGAATCCGGCGGCCGGATTGTTCGCGGCATTGTTCTGATGTCGCGTCTTCGCGTGATGCCGATCAGCCGTGTTTCACCGAGCGACGTGGGTAGAGTCGCAAAAGCGCGGCGAAAAGCCGCGATGGCGTGTCGGTTAACGCGCGATTTACACGCGCGCAAAATTGGATCCGATCGATCATTCTTCGCCGTGCTCGTGAAGCCTCGATCACGTCTGTTGTCCGCTCTTGTTCTGTTTTTCCCTGTTTTCTGTGAGAGTCCGTTCGCGCCGCACGAGATTCTTCCGGTCTGCGACCACCTACACGAGTCGCCCCGTTGGATTGGAATTCCTCTCGTGTCCTTCTCCGACAGCCTTTCACGGCTCGATTCGTTATCACCGGTGTTCTAAGTGCCGGATCATTCGAACCCGCGAGCGGGAACCGTTAGAGAGCGGATCTTTATCTCTGCTCTCGGACTGCCAAACGTTCAAGTATGCGGCGAATAACGTTCTTACGAGAGAGCCGTCGGAAATGTTCCTCATTGATTTTCATGGGCTTTCGAGACGCTACATCGCGGTGTAGCGAAATATAAAAGACTTGTACTTCTTTTTCTCGGTGTGTGTTCTCAAAGCAAATACATTCGAGTTATTTCGATAAATCATACTGATACAATTTTCATGAATTGACATAAATCCAACATTCTTCAGTAAAAAAATTGAGAGAAAAATTAAATATGTTTAATGTACGACATTAAAAGAGACACCATATCGTACCAAGAACGGATTCTTGCCAAAACTCGTGCGGTGCGAACGGACCCGGGGAGGGGGGGTAGGAAGAGGGGATACGAGTGAGAGAATTTCGGATTTGCGGTGGAGGAGATGGACGAAGAGGAGCGGATGTGGGACGGCTCAGGCAAGGAAAGCGGAAGACTGGCGAGAGGGCGGCGAGAGAAGAAGAGAGAAGTTGGACGGAAGAAGTAAGTATCGTAACTGACAGTATTAGTACGAGTGTAGAAGAGAAAGTAGTTACGCAGACAGAGCGGCGAAGCCCGAGAAGCCGAAGAAAGAGGGGCGGAAAGAAGGGCGGAAGAGAACCCAAGCGCGAAGAAGAGTCGGCGAAGTCAGAGTTAGCCGAAACGGAAAACACCGCGTTGAGAGCGCTGAGGGCGAAATGTAAGTGAACGGTATATATAACGATGGTCTGCATTTTTGGGTAGCGCTGCTGGGTAGTATATATATATATATATATATATATATAGATAGATAGATATAGACATTATATCGTTTGACAACAGGGGCGTAGCAATAGGACGAGTAAAGGACCAGCAGCGAGACGACGCTTCCGCGTCTCGACGACAACAACAACAACAACAACAACTACAACAACAACAACAACAAGTCACTGCTCCTTTCTCGGTTTCCTCTCGGTATTTTGCGAGGATTCACCGTACGAATCATCATCATCATCATCATCATCATCATCATCATCATCATCATCATCATCATCATCATCATCATCATCACCATCATCGTAATCATCATCATCATCTTCGTCCTCCTCCTCCTGCTCCTCTGCTTTTCCTCCTTTTCCGCAAGATCCCAAGCTACGCCCCTGGCTTTTGGTAATAAATTAACAGCGGTGTTACAACGAGATGCACACGTGGGTGTCGCATGAGTGTCGCAACGTGGACACGCGTACACACACACGCACACACAGTTATCCCGCGGATGCCCCGCGGAAAGGGGTTGCGAGCGAGCAACGGGGGTCTCGTGTTCTGCGCGTCGGCGGTTCGCCGCGTCCGGACTCTTCCCGCGAGCGGACATCATCTTCATGATTCTTTGTAGAGAAGGAAAATTGACATTTCGAGGCGGACCAATGCGACGGAATTCTCGGTTACTAAACTCGGTTACGACGTTCAAACGAGAAGGAACACGACATTTTGCACGAGCGCGTGGAAAAATCGTCACCACGAACCGCCTCGCGGATTCAGAGAATCCCCTCCCCCCCCCGTTGCCCAGCCAACGATTCCTTTCCATGGGCGAATCTGTTTATACGATGGTGCGTACGAGATACGCGGCGATATTCGAAGAGCGACGCACGTGTCGAGGAGAAATGATCTCGCGGTCAACGCGATCGTTAGCGCGTGACCGACAACACAATCGACATTATCGTCCGTCCCGCTCGCACTCGCGCGAGACACCGCCGCGTATTTCGCGTGCGGATAAGAAAGGTATTCGCCCGCAGCCGCTATACATATATTCCGCATTCCCTGATAAACTGATAAACAACGCAAGTCGGTTATTGAAACGAAGAATGAAGCGGCGAATCGCCATAAAAACCGAATAACAAGCTCTGGCCGAGCTCTTCCTCGGCTGATTAATATTGAACGACGACAACTAGCTAGCCCGTATATGTATCTGTTTATATAATATCTGAAATGTTTTTATTAGCGTGCGGCAAGAGCGCAAGGAATAGCGCGGGTATTTATAGAGACGAACGAACGCTATTCTTATCCGACGCACATGCACCGTATGTGTGTAATATATATATATATATATATATACACGCACGCACACACACACACACACACACACATATATATATACACATCTACAGTACTGTAAAATTTATGTCGTCGATTGTCGCTTTGTGTCGGCCGGGATCGGCGTGATTACAGAGAGCTTCGTTTAGATCTTTTCTCTCTGGTATTTTCTTTCGTGTTTCCTGTTTCTTGTTTTTCATATATATATATATATATATATATACATTTTTTTTTATATACTTTTTTTCTCTGTTTTGTCTTGTTTGTCGATTTCTTTCTTTCTTTTCGTGCTTTTCGCGGTGGGTCTATGTTGGTAGTTTATGTTAGGCTAGAGTGAAGTGGCTTACCGCCTTGCTCGTCCAGCATTACGAGGGTTTTCATCCCGACCTCGTGGCTCTAAACAGGCAACCGACCAATCAGCGGCGTGTTAAAACACATTTACGTACAGGGATAATTAATCGCCGTCGGGACACGCTCCCTCGCCTCGCTCCACGGCGATCCCAAAAAA